CCATCACTGGCCTGACCCGAGACAGGATTGGAGTCCAGGCCAATTTCAGTGGGGCTGTGAGAGGAGAAGGAAAGGCAGCTGGTGAAGGTTGCCTTGTTGAGCAAGTTACCCTTGTGGGCAACTGCAGCTTAATTCTATGGGGAGTTCTGGGACTCAGTGTGGAAAAAGCATCCAAGTTATCCAACCAAAGTGTCCGCCTGCATTGGCTGAGGCTGCCGGTGGGTGGGGAGTTATTCTGCAGTATTTCCCACTTTCCCTGGACACTGGGAAGTTTACCTGAGGGCTCTATTCTAAAGCCCTTGGCAAGTCTGACAGGGAGCATCCTTTCTGTGGTGGTAATTGCAAGGGACTGTGGGCCAGGCACCGATAGTGTGGACCACACTTTGCCCATCAAGGGGGCACTCTGGTACATCCCTGGCCCTTCCTGGTTATAGGAGCCCCCTTCTGCCTCTGCATATTACCTCCTTACCACCACAGATATATGTGCAGAGTATTAATTAAGAGCAAAATCAAACAGTGCACACAACACATAGTAATCCTTGGGAAACCAAGGTGGAAGCAGTTAAGATGGCTTTGGGCAGAATTCAGGACAAGACTCACAATTAACGCAGCAGCAGCGGAGTTTTCATTTATTGAACACTAACTGCCAGACGCTGGGCCCAGGATTATTGTCTTAATTTTGCAGAGGAGGCAACCGAGGTTTGCAAAAATTCATTCACACCTAGCTCTGCCTGCCTCTAAAACATTTGCTCTCAGCCTCTGGGTTGGGAAAATAAAACTGGAGGGGGGTCTAAGCACGCTCCCTCCTCCCTGCTGTCCCCCTTCACTCCCCCTGCAGCCCTGGGAGGCAGTAGCATATCTCTCCAGGCCATCAGCCCAGGGGGGGCACTTAATGGATGCTTAGTCACAAAGTGGATGGCAATCATGAAGGGATCCAAGCCGACACCCCCTTCCCCCGTACTCCCACAGATCCACCAGGCTCCACGGGCTCCAGGTACCCGGTCTCCGCAGCCTAAGCTAATCAGGGTGGTTTCGGGCAAATTCCACTTGGGTCACACCAGGCGATGGGAGGGGGTGGTGGGAGGAGGCTATCCCAGCTAGAAGAACCTCCGCAGCCAGAGTGTCCGGCCTGCGAAGTGCAGAGAGCAATGCCAGTCCGCAGAACGTGCACACCTGCAGCTCTGCGCCCCCGCAGGGATTTCCCAAGGACCCCCTCCTCCGTGCGGCTGGCGCCCCCCACCGACTTCCATGCGTCCTTGTCCTCGCAGCTAGAAAACTCGCCGAAACCGGTTTGGCTCAGTGGATAGAGCGTCGGTCTGTGGACTGAAAGGTCCCAGGTTCTATCCCGGTCAAGGGCATGTACCTTGGTTGCGGGCACATGCCCGGTCGAGGGCACATGCCCGGTCGAGGGCGTGCAGGAGGCAGCTGATCGATGTTTCTCTCCATGTTTCTAGCTCTCTATCCCTCTCCCTTCCTCTCTGTGAAAAATCAATAAAATGTATATTAAAAAAAAGAAAAGAAAACTCGCCCGCAAAGAAAAGGCGGGCCGAGTTCCTCTCGGTAAGTCATGAATGGGTGGGAGGGTTTGCAGAACTCATTGTTAAAACCGCGGAGCCCTCGGCTCGCCGTCCCCGCCAATCGGCGCCCGGAGGCCGTTTTGAAATCGCTCCCGCGCCAGCCAATGGGGGCGCGGGGGGCGCCGCGCCGGCCAATGAGCGCGGCGCTGGGCTCAGGGGCTGGGGGCTCCGCTCAGACTGTCAGCGGCTTAAAGATGGAGCTGGTGGGCGAGAGGCCGCCACGAGGTGCGGGGCCGGCCTGGCGGGGGAGACGACGCGGGACGGACGACTCCCGGGACGCCCCTCCCGCTCACCTGCCGCGTCCTGCGCCGGCCGGGGGCGGGCGGGGGTCCCGTCCCGTGAGTAGCCGGGTCCCCACGCGCGGGGAGCGGGGAGCGGGGAGCGAGGAGCGGGCAGGGCGGCCCCACCCGGCCAAACTCCGTGGAGGGGCACAGCCTGGACTCCAGGCGCTCTCTCTGGGCAGGGGACCCCAGAGGGCGGGAACCCCTCACTAAATCCCCCCAAAACCCCTGTTCCTCTGCGCAGCGAATCTTTTAGGACCGACCGCGGAGCCCAAGTGGGGGTCATGGGCCAGGGATGGGGGCCTGAGGTGGCAGGGACGTGCCGGCCCTCAGTGGGGCCACCCGGATCCCGGGCCGCGGGCCGGGGGCCGGTGAGGGCGCAGGGTCGTCGGGCTGAACCACCCTCGCTTCGAGCGCCCGTGGGCTTCGGACTGGGGTGGAGCACGGGCCCGTCTTCTTTGTGTGTAAGCCCCTCTCCCCTGTCCGCTCCCGCTCTGGATTTGGAGCTACCCTTTAGTTTGGGGGGGTGGCTCTCGTCCACCCATATCTGGAGTGGGCTGAGTAAGGCTCGGGTGCCCTGGGGTCCTGGGGATCCCGAGGATTGAGGACTGCAGTCCCATTGAAATCACCCCCTCCCCCCCAAATCCCTGAGGTCCAGGACAGACCTCTGACCACACCCTCCCACGATTGAGCTTCCTTCCACCCTACCCTTATTGGGGGAGGGGGTCCCCCCTGCTGGCCGCAGGTGCTCTGACGAGGTTGCACTACTGTGCTCTGAGAAGCAGTGCAATGATATTGTCAAAGCATCTGGGATCAACCTTGGGGGCCCCCATCCCCCACACCTCCACCTCCTCCTTCTAGTCCGGGGGCCCCTTGGGCCTGCAGGTTCTCCCCTCCCCCCTGCCCTGCTGGCTCCCTTCTCCATGGAAACTTGAGATCCTGGCCCAGGCCTGGGCCTCCGAGGTCAGAGGGCACCCTTCCCCCCAGGCAGAGGCCCCGCCCCCGTGGGCCTGCATTCCTGGTCTGCGATCCCCACCGACAGACCACCCAGACCACCGGGAGAGGCTGGCTAGGCAGGCGCTGGCAGGCCTGCCTGACACTCTTTCCCTGTTGCACTACTGTGGGCTGCTGGGAAGCAGTGCAATGATGAAAGGGCATCAGTCAGGTCTCCTCCACCACACACAGCGGCTGTGGGGGAGGGCGTTCTGCTGCCTCAGTCCAGTCCGCTTCCCAGTATTAGGTCGTGGTTCAGGGCTGGGCTGGACCCGCCATCAGAGGATTCGGTGAGTGCAGAGCTGGGGAATAGCCCCCGTCTGCTGGCTGGGTAGGTGCAGAGTCAGAGGCAAGCCCTAATTAAGGAAAGCTCTGTTTTGAAGAGGATCTTTCATCCTAGCACCCTGGGTAAGACTTGGAACTCCAGGTTTGGTCAGCAGGGTGTTGTTGAAAAATAGAGGCCGCTGGTTAGCATGGACGGTCTTTCTGGGCCTGGCTCAGACCCAGCTCACCCTTGACCACGAGGGGGCGAATTGGAACAAGCCCTCCTTGAAGGCTTGGGAAGGACCAGTCTCTGGAGAGGATGGTCTCCTGGGTTCTCAGCAGGAAAAGCGCTATTTGGGGTGTAGGTGGGTATCCTTGGGAATATGAAGTTCATAGGTGATGGCCACCAACTGCACCATCTTGTTCTCTTACAGGGAAATACGCTGGCTGCCCTGAGCCTGCAGGAGGGACCATGAGGTGCCTGGCATGCCCACCCTCACAGCTGGAATTGGGGGGATTGGAGCAGAACTGCCAAGGAGCCTGGCCCAGGCATGCTCTGGCAGGGCCATCTCCACCATCAGGACCAGACACCATGCACAATGACAGTTATGTGCCCTAGGACAGTTATTCAAGCCTGTCTCCTTAAGAGGAAGCCCGGGTTCCAGATGGGTGTTTGGGAGTTCCTCTCCACCCTAGCTGAGTACATTGGGGTACCGGTTTCACCCCCATCCTGGGGGTAGAAGCCCTTGCAACCAGGGGGAGGATGAGGGGCTATAACACATGGAAGAAGCAATTCGTGGAAGAAATGAGCCAGCTGGACTCAGGAAGCAAGTTACAGAGACAAAAGGAGGAGCCTTGGAGCTTAAGAGGAAGGCAAAGAAAATGCTCCTGGTTGGGGAGAGAAGGGCGGAAAGCAAGGTGTGCTCTAAAGAGAAAGCTTGAGCTGGTTCCTTCATCATATATATATATATATATATATATATATATATGAAAAATATAGAAATATCAGTGATGTGCCCTAACTGGGAATTGGTTCATAGGTCAACCTTCAACCACTGAGCCACACCAGCCTGGTGTGGGTCCTTCTAATGAAGGGCTTTTATTTGGCGGTTTCAGGAAAGGATCTCAATAAAACATCAGGAGTGTCCTTAGGGTCCTGGTCTCCACTGATTGGTCTGCCCCCACCATTAGTCAATAAAGCCAGTGCTCGGCCAGGTTTGGCTGCATTTCTGGGCCTGGAACTGAAACAACTGAGGCCTAGATTTTATCCCTACTCCCCACCCTTTTTTTCCTTTTCTAAGGGAGTCTACCACATGGCTAGCCACCTGCATAACCTGGTGCATAACCAACAATATGCTAGGAGAAGAAAGAACACCCTGGAGTTGAGGTTCCACCCTACAACTGTCTTTTCTAGGCAGCTGGGACTTTCCACTCTGGTGACCTTGTGTACCTGGCCTGTCCTTCCTACTCTGCTCATGTCTAACTGCCTACCATACAGGGTGAGAGGACAGGCTGAAGGGTGGGTGTCATGCTGGAGAGGAAGAGGAATCGGGGCAGAGTGAAGCCCTCCCGGCAGTTGTCTGCAGAAGCAGCATGGCTCTGGCTGGAGGCCTGGAAGTCTACACACTGAGAAGGGGGCCCAGCTGAGATGGGTGGGGCTGGAAGCTGCCCAATGGGTGTGGGCCTTAAAGAAGTTGGGAGGGCCCTGACCGGTTTGGCTCAATGGATAGAGCTTTGGCCTGCGGACTCAGGGTCCCAGGTTTGATTCCCGTCAAAGCCATGTACCTGGGTGTGCGGGAGGCAGCTGATCAATGTTTCTAACTATCCCTCTCCCTTCTCTGTAAAAAATCAATAAAATATATATTTAAAAAAAATAAGTTGGAGGGTTCCTGCGCGTACCATGTTCTTAGTGTGGCCCTAGGAGAGCCCTGACCAAAGCCCTGGCGCCCGTGTGGGGGTTGGGGGTCTAGTCCAGCACAGCGGCATTCGCACCCTCGAAAGTGCAAGAGCGCATGCCCAGAGCGGCGGGTATTGTCACGTGCGGCCCTCGCGCGAGTTGGCCCGCCAGCGATCTCGGAGGGGATTGGCTGGCGGGGTGGGCGCGGCGCAAAGGCTGTCGGGAAAGAGCTGATGTGTTTCGGGACTCCCGCCTCCCAACGAGACCTGAGTGCGTGCGGGCCGTGGGAGCGGCCCTTCTCCCCCAGCCTGCCGCGGGTGGGGCCGGCGTGCCGTCTGTCTGGACCCTCGGTGACCCCGCCCCGACGGCCGCCGGCAGCCCGGGCCAGCCCGCAGCCCCACCCGGATGGAGATCCTGGACGAGTTCGACAACGAGTTCCCCCAGAGCGTGATCTTCTGCCAGCGCATATCCGAGGAGGCCTTCGAGAGGCAGGCCTCGACCTACACGGAGCGCGCGCTGCGCCGCCTCTTCCGCAGCCTCGACCGCAACCCGGCGCTGGCCGAGCGGGTGGTGCGAAAGGGCAAGCAGGCCGAGTGCGAGCAGCGCGGGTTCCTCTCCTTCCTCTGGGTGCGGGAAGCAGGGGGAGCTGCGGGAGGGTAGGGAGGGTGGGCTGGAAGTCACTGGGTGGGAAGTCCTGCTGCCCTCTAGGGCGGAGCTCTGGGCATGGTGGGCGGGGAAGGAGGGAGGGTTTGGGTCGACCTGTGTTTGCAGAGTTGGGTCTTTTGAGAAGCATGAGGCAACACAGCTTGGGGAGTGCTGCACGCAGGCAGGCAGGTGTCTCACCCGTCCAGCTTCCTTCCTCTTGCCCTCCCTCTCCCGCTGTGTCACAGGCGAAGTTCTTCTGTGCAATCCAGGGGGAGCTGAACTTTTGCAACAGCATGGGCTCCATGGAGATGTACCGACGCCTGGAGCACCTGAAGAGGAGCATCCAACGTGTGCACCTCTACTCCCAGAGTGAGGCTCCACCTTTGCCCTAAGTAACCCAGAAAATCGGATCCAGGACCCATTGTCCCTGATGTCTTCTTTATGAAAACGGACATACGCAAAACGAGAGAGTACTGTGAACGCTTAAGTATTATAGCTGTCACCTAGCTTCAGTAACTCCCCCTGTCTCTCTATACCCGCTTTAAGGGAAATTTCAGACATCATTGTATTCCTGAATATTTTTTAAGGTTTTTTTTTTTTTTTTTTTTTACTATATATTTAAAATATATATATTTTACTGATTTTTTACAGCGAGGAAGAGAGAGGGATAGAGAGTTAGAAGCATCAATCAGCCGCCTCTGAAACCAAGGTACATGCCCTTGACCGGAATCAAACCTGGGACCTTTCAGTCTGTAGGCCGACCCTCTATCCACTGAGCCAAACCGATTTCGGCTTTACTATATTTTACTGATTTTTTACAGAGAGAAAGAGAGAGGGATAGAGAGTTAGAAACATCTATGAGAGAGAAACATCCATCAGCTGCCTCCTGCACGCCCCTCTCAGGGTATGTGCCCGTAACCAAGGTACATGCCCTTGACCGGAATCAAACCTGGGACCCTTCAGTCTGCAGGCCGACACTCTATCCACTTGAGCCCAAACCAGCCAGATTCCTGAATATTTTTTAATGTTTCTGAAAAAAAAAAAGACAAAAAAAAAAAAAGACAGCTGCTGACATAATCACAATGTCAATCCTGATACAATTAACAGTTCCCTAATAAATACAAACTAATACGTAGTCCATAATAAGGTCTCCCAGAAGGTCCATGAAAGCCTTTCTACACTTCCTCTGTCATTTTAGACCCCAAGAATGCCCACACATTGGCTTGGTTGTTGGCCCTCCTAGGTTCCTTTTTGCTAGGGTGACCATGTAATTTGTGACCACACAGGGATGTGGGTCGGTGGCCACTGCCGCTGAAGTCCCCTTTGAGGTGGAAGGGGAGCCCTCCTCCCGCCCCTCCCGGCTATGGACTTGAAGAACAGTGTTGTCCTTTGGGGTATCCCACATCATGGATTTTTATCTGTTGTCTTGTTTATCCCCCTCTGCCTGTGTTTCTTGGACAGTCACTCTAATGCCCTGATTAGAATTGCGTTCAGTTCTTTTGGTGTGTTTGTGTTCAGCAGTAAACTATCCTGGTGGTGGGGCTACTTGCTCCTGCATCACATCGAGAGGCCCAGCTCACCTGGGTGTTTCCCATGATGCTGGGTGTGAGTGCTCCATAATACCATTTCGTCTAACGGCGGGATGTGTACCTTTTACCACAGCCTCCTGAGGTAGCGTTGATGTTATTTTATCCTTGTTTTACGGAAGAGGAAACAGGTCCAGCTGAAACTGGTTTGGCTCAGTGGATAGAGCCTCAGCCTGCGGACTGAGGGGTCCCAGGTTTGATTTCGGTCAAGGGAATGTTCATTGGTTGCGGGCACATCCCCTGGTAGGGGGTGTGCAGGAGGCAACTGGCCGATTTTCTCTCTCATCGGTGTTTCTAGCTCTCTATCCCTCTCCCCTCCTCTCTGTAAAAAAATCAATAAAATATATATTTTTTAAAAAGAGGAAACAGGTTCAGGGAGGCTAAGTTACATAGTAAGTCATGGAGTCTGGGCTTGAACTCAGGTCTGGATTATTCCGGGGTGCAGGCTCTTAGCCTCCAGGACAATGCTCCCTGGTATTGGCTATCCTCATTCTAGATGAGCTGATCTGATGGGCGGTCTGAGGAGCTTGTTAACACCCACTTGCTAATAGTCTTCAGCTTTGAACAGTAAATATAGCCAGGCTTGTTGAAGTAGGAAGACCTAACAAGGAGAGAGGAGACGGATCAGACCCCAGGGTCCTTCCCCTTAAAGGTTCCTTCCCTGACCCCTTCTGCAAGACCTCCTCCTGGTGGATTTTCTCATAGGAGGGTCTTTGCACACCCCAGGACAGCCCTGGGTCTGGGTCCCCAAGAGTTCTGGTGGATTCAAGACTTGCCTCTTGCCCTATCTGTTGGGGGCTGGGGAAGCAGCAGACCATCCTGCCCAGGTCAAGCCCAGCCCTCCTTGGCAGTGATCCTCAATCCGTTCCCATGAGATTCTGGCCTTGAAGTCGGGCAGCTTGTACGTGGATCCTGCCTGTGCCTTGTACAGTTGGAGTTTCTGGTTCCTCTTGAAGGCGGAGACAAAAGTACCCTTTCCACGAGGCAGTTGTGGTGTCAATGAGATGGTGCATGTCAACAGTGGGTCAAAGCATTGCTTTGGGGGCCTGCCTCCCCTCTCCATTGGAGAAACTGAAAACACCATCGTGTTTGGCCCCCACTCCACTCTGTTCTGGCTGAGGGGAAGGCACTCACTGGTACCTTTTTGTCACAGATGCCAAGAAGAAGAGAAGGAAGCCAAAAGTGAAGAAACTAGAGCCCGTCCTCTTGCGCAACCGTTCAACTTCCCCCTGCCTGCCACCAACACTGCTGCCGCCTCCACCACTGCCACCACCTGTCACCACCGTGTCCTCTGTGGTGGTCCGGTCGTCACCCTCTGTCTACACGATGCCCAGGGTCTTTGGCCCATTCCCTCAGCTGCCTAACAAGTCGGTCAGTGGGCATATTGCCCCCTCCCCTACAATCCTGGAAGGGGCAGCTCTTGGGCCCAGAGCAGTGATTCTCAGAACTTTGTTTTTAAGCAGCCAAGCCCTTTTTAGGACTGTAGGCAAAGTCTTGGGTGGAGCAGCAGTGGGTAAAGGAATAAAAGGGGAGCTCCTCTGATTGAATAATTGGGGTAAGGGTTGAAGGCTACCTGCTTGGCCTCAGCTGAACAAGGCAACCTCAAATGCACTGGGCAGAATCCTCCTAGGGCTGCCAGAGGACAAGTGGAGGACCACAGGCCCCCCCTGCCGTGGCTCTCTAGGCTGTCATTCTCTAGTGCCTTCCCCCCTCCTTCCCCACCTTAACCCACACGCTCTCTCCAGCAAGCCCCTCCTCCCCTGGCTGGATGAGGACCTCCCCAGTTGGCTCCTAGCCCCTATTTCCAAGCTCAAGGTGAGCACAGAGGATGAGCCTGACCCATTTGCTGGTTAAATGAAAGTCACCTAGTTATCACAGTTCTCATATAGGTAATATTTTTTTTTTTTTCACGGCGAGGCCCTCCAACTTGTCCCGACATTGCCTTTGTTTCCTGCAGAAGGAGAAATTGGAAGCTCCAAGTTCTGAAGTGAAATTAAACTGGCTGTCATCGAACCCAAAGAGGTAAAAGGAATTTATTTTGGGCTTGAGGTAAGTGAAAGAGCATTCTGGGGAGCATGCTCTGGGCCAGGCTCAGCTCTTATTCCCTCCCCACCTCTTAAGTTAACCCTCGCTACGGTCCCGGGCGCTGGTTCTCATTGTTCGAGGAAGGAGTCCGGGCTCAGCAGGCCCTGTCCCCATGGCAGAGTGGTGCCCACCAAGATTGGAGACGCCCCGCCTAGGAGGACCCCAGAGCTGACAGTGCCTCTCTGCCCCTGTCTTGCAGACGCATGGTTGACCTGACCCCTTTAGTCCTCAGTCCTGGAGGCTTCCATCTCTCGTACGTGCCCAGAAACAGGTACAAGCTCCACTACCCTGGCTTCCACTGGTAAGTGTGCTTCTGAGCCTCCCCGGGCCAGGTACCTTCTGACCAGCATTGTGTGGTGTGGCCGAGGGCTAGACAAATGGTCTTTATGACGATGCCTGCCACTTCCAGGAGGGACCCTTACGTAATCAGGAGTGCGGAAAAGTCACTCCCTACTGTGTGTAATGGTGAGAAATTAGAAATAGCCCAGAGGCCAACAGAAAGGGAATGACTGCATCAACCGTGGGCAGCCCTATCTATGATTTATATACACACTTGTTTTGCAAAGCAGGGATTTACTAAATATGGGGTTTTAAAAATCACCCGTGTTTTCACTTATGAATATTAAGTATATCCTGTATCATTGAGTGTTATTCTAAAATATGACTTAGACTGGCTGTTTCATTGCATCAGATAACTTTAAAAATATATTTATTGATTTTAGAGAGGAAGGAAGAGGGAGAGAGAGATAGAAACATCAGTGATGAGAGAGAACCATTGATTGGCTGCCTCCTGCATGCCCCCCACTAGGGATGGAGCCTGCAACCCAGGCATGTGCCCTTGGCCAAATTCAAACCTGGAATCCTTTAGTCCTCAGGCCGACACTCCATCCACTGAGCCAAACCAGCTAGGGCCAGATAAATTTTTTAACAGCCTTATTGATATAGTATTACTTATATATTACATAATTAAGCTATATTAAAATATACAACTCAGCTCTAGCTGTTTTGACACAGTGGATAGAGCATCAGCCCTTGGATTGAAGGGTCCTAGGTTTGGTTCATCCAGACCCTGGTTGGTGCACATACGGGAGGCAACCAATTGATGTGTCTCTCTCACATCTATGTTTTTCTCTCTCTCTGTCTCTCCCCTTCCCTTCCACACTCTCTCTAAAGATCAATGGGGAAAAAATCCTTTAGTGAGGATAAAAAAAACACCACACCCACCTTTAAATTCACCAATAATAATATATGCAAATACTCCCATTGTATGGATGGAACATAGTTTACTGAACCATTTTTAAAATATATATATTTTATTGATTTTTTACGGAGAGGAAGAGAGAGGGATAGAGAGTTAGAAACATTGATGAGAGAAAATCATTGATCAGCTGCCTCTTGCACACCCCCTACTGGGAATGTGCCCGCAACCAAGGTACATGCCCTTGACCGGAATCGAACTCGGGACCTTTCAGTCCACAGGCTGACGCTCTATCCACTGAGCCAAACCGGTTTCGGTGTGGTGTTTTTTCTTGTTGGGATATACATTCCTTTAATGGCCCCAGAATAGTCCACTGCATGGCTGTACCTTGTTCCCTAATGAATGTTTAGATTGCTTCCAGGTTTTCACAATCACAACATAGCTGCAGGGAGCAGCCTGAACAAACATTCTCGGGAGAGATTTTTGGAAGTATAAATGTTTAGAGTCATCCTACTGCTTTGGGAAGGGGGTTTGTCATGTGTACCCCTGATGGTGTTGATGTCCCACTCATGACATACCTTGGCTGTCTCCTGCACAGGACTTCAGCCTGTAATGACTCCCCCAACACCAAGGAGACACCGTCCCCTCCTGTGGAGACCCCCACCTGTCCTGGAGTTTTCACCCCACCTGTCCTGTTCCAGTTCCAGCCTGTGCCCACACCTAAAGCTGACTCAGAGACTGACCACGACAGCGCCAAGTCTGTGCCCCACACGCGGGGCCCATAACCTCTTCCCTGCAGACTGCCGGAGGAATGAATAAAGTTCTCATGGAGGTGCCTTTCTCCTGTTGGGCTTCTTAGGGGCTGTGCAGTCCCGTGGCTTCCCTGCACCCCGAAGAGCTTGTCGGTACTGCCTTCCTGAGGCCGTGAGGCCTGAGCTTATGTACATCAGGTGGTCAGGTCAGTGCTACTGTGAACTCCCCTCACTTGCAATCCAGCACGGGGATTCAGCCAGGTGCATTTTGAAAGAGAACCGAGTGAGGGGAGAGTGATTCCTTTCTCTGCAGTGACTCTGTGGCCCCTCATCTGACCCCACTGACTTGCAAGTCTACCTTTTTCCTTCCTACACCTGGCCCCTAAAAGTAAGCCTCATTTGGGTCCAAGTTTAGAAACAGTGATCTCTTCCCTCCCTAGAGTATTAAAATGAGCTGGTGTGTCAGTTTCCAACTTGGCACCTTCCTAAGGAATTTCAAAGATAGCGACTCTAATTGTTGCTTCACACCTTGATCTTAGAAACAAACCTGCATGTGAGTGTGAGCCTTCCCAAAATGCTTGATGACGGATGGACAGTTAGCAGATATGCATTGAGCCTTTGTGTATGTCTCACAACTTGCTTGGTACTGATGATGATAAACCAAGCAGCTGGGCCCCTTCCCTTAAGGAACTTACACCCATCCCATCCTCGTCTGTGTGTGTGTGTGTGTGAGAGAGAGAAAGGGGCCAGCCATGAGATGAGAAAAAAGGGCCAGGACAACTGGGTTTGGGTACCTAGGTGGAGGGAAGTATGGTGGGGGAGAGTGGAGACGGGGTGAGGGATGGAGAATTCCACTTTGAGAGGTTACATTGGAAATTGGTGGGTACCCAAGTAGAGATCAGGAGCACTGGCAATTTAGTGTTGGGAGTCAGGGGTTACAAGTGGTACTTTAAACCACGAGACTGGGCAAGGTCACCGAGTACTTGAGTGTAGACAGATGTCTGGGGCTCTGGGTGGGGCACATAAACGTGATCTGGCCAAGGGAAGTTGTGGGTCAGAAGATACTCAAGGGAGCAGGGAGGGCTTTGGACCTTCTGGCTTGGGCCACTCAGGGGAAGGCCCTGGAGGCTGTGGAAACCAAATGGGTGGAGAGAATGGGAGGTGAGGGGGTACATAGCAAATGTGGACGTCCCTTTGGAGACATATGTCATTGAGGGGAGCAAAAATGGAGCAGAGGCTGGTGGGACTTTAGGCTCTAAGCGGGCTACTTAAAAGACCTGAGGCCTGGCTGGTGTGGTTCAGTGGTTGAGTGTCTACCTATGAACCAGGAGGTCACAGTTCCATTCCCTATAAGGGCACATGCCTGGATTGCTGGCTCCATCTCCAGTGGGGTCCTGTGGGAGGCAGCCAATTGGTGGTTAGTTCTCATGGTTGATGTTTCTGTTTCCTCCCTTTCTGAAATCAATAAAAATATATTAAAAAAAAACCCCAAAAACCTGAGGACCCAGGTCAAACCAAGACGGGTTTGAGTGGGGAGGGCACTGAGCCGAGCTGAGAGGGAAGGCGAGGCGCTTGGGAGAAGAATGGCTTCGAGTCAGGAGGCAGCTCAGCTGTGACGGAACAAGAGCCCCATTGGGAAACAGCTTAGGCATCGGCTGCGACAGCGGACTGGCGCGCTTGCCTCCAGGGACCACAATTCCCGGCATGCTCAGTGCCGGCTTCCGTGGCGGGACCCGGAAGTACTTAAGGGTCTCGGCTGGGAAGCGGCGGACGCGGCTGACTGGGTCGTGTGTTGACGATTTTCCGCGTTCGCTGGTCCTGCCGCCGCCACCGCCGCCATGGGGAAGAGACAGCACCAGAAAGACAAGATGTAAGTTGAGCCGCAGCCAGGCGTTCCTGGCTCTGCCTGCGTCCCGCTCTGCCTCAGTCTCCGCCTGTTGTGCGCTCTGCGGCGTCTCCCGCTCCCGCTTTCGGAGGGGACCCAGAACCCCCTCAGGTGTCGCTTCCTCCCAGAAGCTTCCGTCCCCTCAGGTGGAGTAAATATTTTCCCTCTCCCCCCCCAACCCCCCAATCTCCCGCCTCGGAGGCGTCTGCTCCAATCGGCCGTCGGTGCCCTCACCTGCGCGCGGCCTTCCCTCCGCCGCGGCTCCTCGGACTCGGCCCCCTCGACTTCGCTTGGCCCTGCCCACCCGCGAGCGCCGCTCCTGAGTGAGCCCTCCCCTGCGCCTCCTCTCCCAGTGTGCTGGGGCCTGCCCATCAGCTTCCACATATGAACAGAATCTTCCAGTTTATTTTATTTATTTTTATTTATTTTTTAAAAAAATACATATTTTATTGATTTTTCACAGAGAGGAAGGGAAAGGGATAGAGAGCTAGAAACATCAATGAGAGAGATACATCGACCAGCCCTCTCCTGCACACCCCCCACTGGGGATGTGCCCGCAACCAAGGTACATGCCCTTGACCGGAATCGAACCTTTCAGTCCGCAGACCGACGCTCTATCTGAGCCAAACCGGTTTCCGCAGAATCTTCCAGTTTAAAGGAATCCCTCTCCCCCCCTTTACCTATATTTCCCTCCAGCTGCCACTGTTTTTTTACGTGCAAGAGCTGTGTCAGCTGGCTATTTTCTGCTGTCTTTATTTATTTATTTATTTATTTATTTTTATTTCTGCTGTCTTTTGAAACTACTTCGACTTCATTCAGGCTTCCGTCCCCAGCACTGCTCTTGTCAGGAACCCAGTAACTTCCATGTTGCTAAAGCTCGTGGTCAATTCCCAGCCCTCATTTTGTTGTGCTCCTCCACAGTATATGACACAACTGACCACCCCTCTCCTTCTAAGCCCTTCTTGGGGATCCTCCTCCCAGCTCTCAGCGGATGATCTATCTCGCCTCGCAGTAGTCAGCTGCTAACTCGGCATCTCCACTTGGAAGCCTAATGGAAATCTCACATTTAATATGCTTCAAAGGAAATCTCGTTTTTCAGTGCCTGAGCCTGCTCCTCCCCCATTTTCCCTAACTCCGTTTGCTCAGGTCAGAAGTCTGGGGAGTTAGCTTTGATACCTCTTTCCCTCAGCAGTTTTTTCCCTCCAGCCCATCAGCAAGTCCTCCTGGCAATTTCAGGGACTGACCACTCTCTCGCCCACCAGTTCCCACAAAGGGGAGTTTATGTCAACTCCTTGGACCTTTGTAGTTCTCTCCTGATTGGGTTTCTGCTGCCTCTCTTGCTTGTCCCGCTATAGGAAGCAACCAGAGTGACGCTTCGAGGACTTACGTCAGATCATGTCAGAGCTCTGCTCCAAACCCTCAAAGCTTCCCATCCTGTTTACAGCAAACCCGGAGTCCTCGGACCGGCAACTGTGTCTCCTTCATCTAATGCCACATGGCCCCACCTACAGTTTGTCAGTGGCTTCACCCTTTTTTTCTTTTCTTTTTAATACATTTTTATTGATTTTAGAGAGGAAGGGAGAGGGAAAGAGAGATAGAAACATCAATGATGAGAGGGAATCACTGATTGGCTGCCTCCTGCACGCCCCCTATTGGGGGTTAAGCCCCAAACCCAGACTTGTGCCCTTGGCTGGAGTCTAACCTGGGACCATTCAGTCCATAGGCCGGCGCTGTATCCACTGAGCCAAACCAGGTAGGGCGGCTTCACTCTTTTTTGGGAATACAACAGCTTTTCCTGCTTAGTGGCTTTTGTATGTGACATGCCTGCTTGGTCCTGGAAAGCTCTTCCCCCGGATCTTCACATGGCTAGCTCCTTCTCATCATCAAGCCTCTGTTAAGTTCAGTTGTTTTTCTTCATAGCAAAGCAGGACTTTGTATTTACTTGTTTGTGTATCCCCATTCCTATTGTATGTGCCTTTCACGGAGTAGGTATTTAATAAACATTTGCTAAGTAAAATGACTGAGTAAAATGATTCAGTCATCCATCACTTCCAGAGACTGTCCTTTTTACAAAGGGGTGGAAGTAAGATTTCTCTTTCTCTCCTTCAGGTACATTACCTGTGCTGAATACACTAACTTCTATGGTGGCAAGAAACCAGGTAAGGCATGAAATCCTCCTCTTTCCCTTTATATGTGTGAGGGGGTGTAATTAAGGAATGATGTCTTTGCTACAATGAGCCGTAAAAAACAATGGCCCTGCCGAAACCGGTTTGGCTCAGCGGTAGAGCGTTGGTCTGCGGACTGGAAGGTCCCATGTTCGATTCCAGTCAAGGGTATGTACATTGGTTGCGGGCACATCCCCGGTAGGGGGTGTGCAAGAGGCAGCTGGTCGATGTTTCTCTCTCATCGACGTTTCTAGTTCTCTATCCCTCTCCCTTACAGAGAGAGAATCATCGATCAGCTGCCTCTTGCACACCCCCTACTGGGGATGTGCCCGTAACCAAAGGTACATGCCCTTGACCGGAATCGAACCTGGGACCTTTCAGTTCGCAGGCCGATGCTCTATCCACTGAGCCAAACAGGTTTTGGCCACAACCCTGCCTTGACCAGAATCGAACCTGGGACGCTTTAGTCTGCAGGCCGACTCTATCCACTGAACCAAATCAGCTAGGGCCATTTTTTTTTTAAATTTATTTTAATTTATTTTTATTTTATTAATTTTTCTGATTGGTGTTTTGGGTTTCTTAGGATATTTTCCTCGAAGTGTGATCACTGGGTCAAATGACAGTTCCATATTTAATTTTTTGAGGAAACTCCATACTGTTTTCCCTTTATTGCACTTTGCAGACATTATTTTTTGAGCAAGTCTGGGGATGAGTTTTCCAACAGCATTTGTTCACTTTGTATCTCTGGGTTCCATTTTGATAATCCTTGAAATATTTCAGACTTTTTTTATTTGTTATGGTGACTTGGACTTTTCTTTGTTTGCTTTTTACTTTTTTTTAATAGATTATTTTAATACAATAGCCCATCTTTCCTTTGAGAAAAATTGTTGTCTTGGTTTCTATAATTGAAAACAACAATAATATCTTCTGTTGGGTCAGTAGTATCTTCTAAAGGCTAAGTGTGGTAAGGTCTCTGAAACTTTAATGTGAGTATGAATGACCTGTAGATCTTGTTAAAATGATGCAGACTATAATTCAGAAAGTCTGGGACTGCATGTCCAACCAGCTTCCAGGTGAGGGCAGTGCTGTTACTTGACACATCATACTTACATTGGAAAAAAATGCCATCTAGAACTTAAATAGACAGAGAGGAAAACTCAATGTCTGGCTTCAAAAGCTTCAAAAGACAGGCTGATTCTGTTTTTAGGGACTAATGCAGTTGTTGAAATTGAAGCTAATGCTCATTTATCATTCCGAAAGTCCAAGGGTCCTTAAGAACTATTCCACATCTACTCTGCCTGTGCTCTGTGAATGGAACGGCAAAACCTGGATGATAGCACATGTGCTTACAACACGGCTTACTAAAGACTTCAAGTCTACTGTAAGTCCTTCTGCTCAGAAAAAGGTTCCTTTCAAAATATCACTACTCATTGGTAATGTACCTGGTTACCCAAAAGGTCTCTGAAGGTCTGATGGAGATATACAATGGAATTAATGTTTTAACGCCTGCGAACAGAACCTTCATTCTGCAGCCCATGGACCAAGAAAGTAATTTTTAAAAACATATATATTTTATTGATTTTTTAAAGAGAGGAAGAGAGAGGGATAGAGAGTCAGAAACATCGATGAAAGAGAATCATTGATCAGCTGCCTCTTGCACACCCCCTACTGGGGATGCGCCTGCAACCAAGGCACATGCCCTTGACCGGAATCGAACCTCGGATCTTTCAGTCTGCAGGCTGACGCTCTGTCTGCTGAGCCAAACCGGTTTCGGCCCAAGAAAGTAATTTTGATTTTCAAGTCATTATTTAAGAAATACATGTCATAAGGTTATAGTTGCAGCAGACGTTGATTCCTCTGATGGATTTGGGCAAAGCAAATTGAAAACCTTCTGGAAAGATTACAGCATTCCAGATGCCATTAAGAACACTCATGGCCGAAACCGGTTTGGCTCAGTGGTTCTCTCTCATCGACGTTTCTAGCTCTCTATCTCTCTCCCTTCCTCTCTGTCAAAAATCAATAAAAAAAAGAAAAAAAAAAAAAAAAGAACACTCATGATTCATGGGAAGAAGCCAAAAGATCAACATTAACAGGCGTTTGGAAGAAGTTGAATCCAGCCCTCCTGGAAGAATTTGAGGGCTTCAGGAGTTCAGTGGAGGAAGTAACTGCACATGTGGGAGAAATAGCAAGAGAACTAGAATTAGAAGTGGAGCCTGAAAATGTGACGGAATTGCTGCAATCTCATAATAAGCCTTCATTGATGAGGAATTGCTTATGATTGAGCAAAGAAAGTGGTTTTTGAAGTGACAACAGGACTTAGAATATTACATACCTTTAGTTGATAAAGTCAGGGTTTACGAGGGAGGATTAATTTCAATTGTGAGAGAAGTTCTGTGGGTAAATGCTGTCAAATAGCATTGCAAGCTACAGAGAAGTCACGAAAGGAAGAGTCAGTTGATGAGGCACACTTCGCTGTGGTTTTATTTTAAGAAATTGTTACTGCCACCCCAGCCTTCGGCTACCACCACCCTGAGCAGTCAGCGGCCATCAACATCAAGGCAGGACCCTCCACCCAGTAAAAGATTATGACACACTGAAGGCTCAGATGATGGTTAATAATTTTAGCAGTAAAGTATGTTTTAATTAAGGTATTGAATATATATATCTACAGTACGTTTTGCTATTATATACTTACTTAACTAGTATAGTATAAACATAACTTTTAGCGCAAGGAAACCAAAAACTTTGAATCCCTTTATTACAATATTCGCTTTATTGTGGCGGCCTGGAATCAAACTCGCAGTGTCTCTGAGGTATGCAGTGTGTACTTTTTTTCTCTTAAGATCTTTCCTGATATATCCCATGTGCTTTGGTTCTATCAAAAGTTTTTAATCCGAAGCAATTGCTGCACTAGGTAATTTACATGAACTTTTTCTTTTAGAAAAATATTTTTATTGATTTCAGAGAGGAAGGGAGAAAGAGAGAAAAATCAATGATGAGAGAGAATCATTAATTGGCTGCCTTCTGCACCCCCCTCCCTCCCCTCGGGGGATTGAGCCTGCAACCTGGGCATGTGCCCTGACTGGGAATTGTACTGTGACCTCCTGATTCATAAGTCAACACTCAACCACCGAGACACACAGGCTGGGCTACGTGAACTTTTTCTTAAAATGTAATTGAATTGTTAATCGAGTTACATAGGTGAAATTTTTACAGAATAAATTTTCTGTCTCTTATTTTTGTTTTAAACAGATATCCCACAAACAAATTTTCGTCGTTTACCTTTTGACCACTGCAGGTAAGAGTTTTGAGAGTTTAATCTCTCCCTTGTAATAGTTCTCCGGTACTCAGTTATTTGACAGTGAATCTCATCCTTGGAGATGCAGCTGTGGGTTTTGGCTGTGTTCCTCCGCTTCCCTCCCCCCAGATCTTCCCTGAACTGGGAGAAGGTGACTCAACAATGATAAGAACTAATGATTCTTTTCTGCTTATTCTGTGTCTGTGTTTACAAGTCCATTGTCTTTTTAACCTCAATCTTACCTTCCAAAGTAGGTAGGCTCTGTTGTTAGGCTGTTTTACAGTTGGGAGAATCAGTGCTTAGGAGAGCGAAGTCCCTTGCCCTGGTGTCACATCCAGGCAGTGGTGCCGCTGAGGCGCGCACCCAGTGGTCTCCTGTGGACCTGTGCCTTTCACACTTTCCCTTTGGTCCAGAGGCCAAGTGGTACCAACAGCTGCAATGGTCATGATACTGTGAGCCCCCTTCCCCTTCCCTGGGGAATGCAGGTCACTGGTGGACTCGGGAGGGACCCAGCTTTAGAGCCACTCAGAGGCTTCTTCCCATCCCAGTTGGTGTGTGTATGAACAGAAGCTGGGTGTGCTGAAAACATGGGACTAGGATTGTTGAACCCCATCACATAGGGGCTGTGATGTGGGCAGATCTGCGTTTCCTAAATTCGAGCCACGGTCATCTCTGCTCTGTGCACATGCATGTCTGCACAGCATTCCTCCTCATCCCCCGAGTTCTGATGCCATAGGACAGAGTGATCTTGAGAGCTGATAAAGCTCTCCTGGTTATCCCAGTGCCCAGTGGAGGCAAGTCAGCCAGACACCACAGGGTGCCAGGAAGGTCCAGGGATGCAGCCGCTGGGTGTGCCCAGGGCCTCCCCAGGAGGCTCCCATGCAGTGGTGAGTGAGGGCTTTTCCCGCTCAGAGCACGTAGGAGGGTGAACAGATGAGACCCAGGTATCTTTGGCTGCATTTCTCTCCCAACCCAGCAGATTTTGTCACATCCAGGTCAATGTCTTATGCAGATTGGGTGTGAATTGCTTTTATGGAAATGCTTTCATCTTTGGTTCCCAGTTCCTGTAAGAGGTCTCTGACCTGTGTCTCGCTCATTTAAAAAAAAAATATATATATATATATATTTTATTAATTTTTTTACAGAGAGGAAGGGAGAGGGAATAGAGAGTTAGAAACATCGATGAGAGAGAAACATCGATCAGCTGCCTCCTGCACACCCCCCCCACAGGGGATGTGCCCGCAACCAAGGTACATGCCCTTGACCGGCATCAAATCTGGGACTCTTGAGTCTGCAGGCCGACGTTCTATCCACTGAGCCAAACCGGTTTTGGTGTCTGCTTTTCTTAAGGAGACCCTTCTGGAGGTGGCAAATGGCCTGTGGTAGTCCGGCCTCTGCAGGTCCCTCTACCCCACATCCATATATTAGAACTTACCCTGGGCTCCTGGGGCTTCAGGTCTTGCCTGAGTCATGTGAACGCCCCTTGGAAATATGGGAGAACTGTGTGCAGAGCCTGTGGTGAGGAGCAGGCAGGGCTCCCACCAGAGCTTCTTGGGATGGGAGAGGGCAGTTCTCAGTAGGAAAGTGTGGCCTGCCTATGGCTGCTGTTCCAGTCCTGCCTCTCCCAGGCCACCTCCAGGGAGCTCTTTTAGGCTTGAACACGATCGCACGTGTATGACACAGCACAGGGTGTGGAGAGGACTAGGCTGCAGTTCTCCCTAAACCCTCTCCTCAACTCCTAAAATCTTTGCTTTGTACTTACTGGTTTGTGCTGGGAGCTGCTGAGGGGCAGAGATGTGGGGGTCCCCTCTGTGCTGGCACCTATCCCAGGCTGTGCAGAGGAGCACCTGAGCTGGTGGAGGAATGACTGAAGGAAGGAGAGGCAAAAGGAGAAGTCATAAGCGCCATGTGGGAGTGGCTAGTCCACTGCATGACCAGGAGTGACCATGTCCTTTCTCAGTCTTTCTCTGCAGCCCTTCAGCTACCCGGTCTGCACCCCTGAAGGCGTCGTCTTTGACTTGCTGTGAGTTCTCCCTTGACTTTTGAACTAACAAACGGGTGAGGTGGTTGATATCTGCTCAGGTAGGGGATGTGGGGCCAACTGGGTGGGGGGGTTTATGGTTCCAGCCAGTGCAGGCCAGGGCACGCTGAGGTCCTGGGGCTTCGAGGGCCCTGGGCAGGTCTGTTGGGGACCCAGGAGGAACTGCCAGGGCCTCAGAGAGGAAGCAGTGCTGCTGTGACCCCTGGCAGGCAGCTTTGCTGGCAGGTGCTGTTGTCTTCCTGGAGTGGCATTGACACCCCCACCCCCCAAGTGAGGCCCTAGTGTTCCAGTTGCCACTAATGTACTTGTTTTGGAATATTAATGAACTAAGTCCTTTTCACTTTATGAAAGTCATAATTAGGGTGCATACTTTTCAGTGCTGTGTTTTGAAGCATTATGCTCAGTCTTCTTTTCTTTTTTAATTTTTATTTTATTGATTTTATACAGAGAGGAAGGGAAAGGGATAGAAAGTTAGAAACATCAATAATAGAGAAACATCGATCAGCTGCCTCCTGCACATCCCCCACTGGGGATGTGCCCGCAACCAAGGTACATGCCCTTGACGGGAATCGAACCTGGGACCTTTCAGTCCGCAGGCCGACGCTCTATCCACTGAGCCAAACCAGTTTCGGCTTAGTCTTATTTTCTAACATAAGCCAGCTTATATACTTACCTCACGTTTCAGACTTATTTTAGAAAAATTGTAAAACATTTTACAGGAAAAACTTAGCATCATCACACTATCTGGGGTAACCACTGTCAGTATTTATACTCATCTTTTTCTTTGTTTATTTGTGGTAACATGGTTGAGGTAATACCATGAAGATAGTTCTGGATCCATTCTTTACTCAGTCATTTCCCTCCATTTCATTACGAATTCTCTGGAAATTGTAATTTAAAAAAATATATATATTTTTTATTGATTTTTTACAGAGAGGAATTGAGAGGGATAGAGAGATAGAAATATCAATGAGAGATATCGATCAGCTGCCTCCTACTGGGGATGTGCCCGCAACCAACGTACATGCCCTTGACGGGAATTAAACCCAGGACCCTTCAGTCCGCAGGCCGACGCTCTATCCACTGAGCCAAACTGGTTTCGGCTTGTGTACATCTTTGTTTGCCAGTTTGTGTTGTTTATATGTAACTGCAGTAAAAACCCTGAATATACTCTGAGCCACATTTCCAGAAATAGCCCGTTTCCTAGGCTTCTGCCCCAGAAGTGAGCGGAGCAAAGCCCCTTCACAGCTGTCCCCCGAAGCAGCCTCCTGGCGGCGCTGTACCTGCCCATCACGCTCATGCTCTCTGTTCTCTTCCCTTCAGCAACATCATTCCTTGGCTTAAGAAGTACGGGACCAACCCCAGCAACGGCGAGGTAAGGGTCATGCAGGAATGTAAGTGATGCCCGTGAACAATGTCCTGTCGCCTGTCCCTTCATTCTGTGGTTTTCATATACACACAGGTGAGGTAGAGGACGATTGAGGGGGCACAGAGAGGGACTGTGCTTCTCCCTGTACACACATCCCTTTCCAGAAATGTTTTCTACATGCACACGTGTGTACAGGTGTACATCTTTCTTTGGGCCATGGGTGCGCTCACAGGCGTGAATTCCTCTTTACCTTGCCTTCTCATTCTGCAGTGTGTTGGGATCTGGATGTGTCAGTGCATAAAGCCCTGCCTTGTTCTGTGATGGCTGCGTTGTCCTCATGCAGGGCACTGCAGGGATTTGAGGTCACCTGCTGTTGCAAACAGTGGTCAGGGCCAGCCTTGTGCATGCTTCTTTGGGCATACACAGGTGTAGTCCTGGGACTGCTGGGTCATGGGGTGGATGCATTTTCTGTTTTCGTAGCTACTGGCAAATTTCTTTCCAGAGTTGCGCCATTTTTTATTTTTTGTATTTTAATGTTTTTATTGATTTTTAAAATGTATTTTTATTGATTTCGGAAAGGAAGGGAGAGGGGAGAGAAAGAAACATCAGTGATGAGAGAGAATCGTTGATTAGCCGCCTACTTCATGCCCCCTACTTGGGATTGAGCCCGTAACCCTGGCATGTTCTTTTGATCAGAATCGAACCTGGGACCCTTCAGTTTCCAGGCTGACACTCTATCCACTGAGCCAAACTAGTTAGGGCTATTTTGTTGATTTTTATAGAGAAGAAGGAGGGATAGAGAGAAAGAAACATCAATGAGAGAGGAACATCCTCAAATGGCTGCCTCCTTCATGCCCCCTCCAGGGGGATGGAGCTATACTGGCCAAGTGAGAAGGGCTATCTTATCTGGTGGCTGCAGCCTTAGGGCAAGCACCCTATCATCTGTCCTGGAGCCTAATGCTCACCTGCACAGGCGTGTGGGAGCCTATATATAGCTTAATATTGCAAAGTGACCCCTTTTGAAGTTCGACCTACCGGGAGTTCGATCGCTCGCTATGATGTGTGCTGACCACCAGGGGGTGGCGTGGAATGAAGGAAGGCCCCTGCCCACAGCCGGAAGCCACTAGGGACCCTACCCATTTATGAATTTCATGTACCAGGCCTCTAGTAGTTGAATAAAAGAGGAAGGCATGAAGCCAGGTGTGGGGCTGGTGGACTGGCCACTGCAGGAGAGGGAGGACACAGGGTTGGAGCTTGCCTCAGGGGCCCAGTCCTGGAACACTCACCCAGTGTCTCGTTTGGGACCTGTGTATCAGGGCTGGGTGACAGTGGCTCCAGGGACATGAGCCTTGAGTTAGGTGCTCTCAAGGGGCAGCTTTGCCCGTCTGTTCCAGGGTCTCTCCACAGCCCCCGTCAGCACCCCTGTTGAGGCCTACTTCCCAGGGCTGCTGCTTTCCTCTGGCTGCCTGGACTTTGTTTCATTATGAAGTTTCCTGTAGAAGAGGTGAACTGTAGACACACAAATGTTAAAAAATGGAACATCCCACCAGGCCTGTGTGGTTCAGTTGGTTGGAGTGCCATCCCATACACCAGGAAGGTTTTGGGTTTGATCCTGGTCAGGATGTATGGGAGGCAGCCGGTGGATGTTTCTCTCTCTCGCTCTCGCTCTCCAGAATCAATAAACATAAACATATAATTAAAAAAATACTCTTGGGTGAGGATTAAACAAAAATAGAGGACCCCTCACAACTGCTCTTAGCATTTGGGTATATTTATTCCTTCCCCCCCCCGCCTTTTTTTTTTTTTTTTTTTTAATATATTTTATTGATTTTGTACAGAGAGGAAGGGAGAGAGATAGAGAGTTAGAAACATCGATGAGAGAGAGTCATCGATCAGCTGCCTCCTGCACACCCCCTACTGGGGATATGCCCGCAACCAAGGCACATGCCCTTGACCGGAATCGAACCCGGGATCCTTCAGTCCCCAAGCCGACGCTTTATCCATTGAGCCAAACCGGTCTCGGCCCTTTTCCCCCTTTTTAAAAAATATTTCATCTTTCTTAAATAGTTACACAACAGGAGAATAAGGTAAACACCACCCATATACAGATTTGTGTGTTTTTTAATCCTCACCCAAGAGTATTTTTTCTCCATTGATTATTAGAGAGACTGGAAGGGAAGAAGAGAGGAAGGGGGAGACAGAGAGAAAGAAACATCGATGTGAGAGAGACACACAGATTGGTTGCCTCCTGCCCACGCCCCAATCAGGGCTGGGGATCAAACCAACCCAGGTACGTGCTCTTGACTGGGAATGAACCCGTGACCCTTTGGTGCAGGACCAATACTCTAACCACTTAGCAACACTGGCCAAGACAAAATAATTCAATTTCAAAAATAATCAGTGTCTAAACCTCACAGAGTATAAAGAAACTGCCTCAGGCTCGGCCTTTGGGCTGGATGTCAACCCCTTTGTTGGGGCCGGTTTGCTATCTCAGAGGCTGGGCTTCCACTGTGCAGCCCCCTTCTCTAGGTTAGTCACTGTGTCCTGGGCCCTAGGTCAGCACCTGTGCCTTTTCCTCTTCTGAAGGCTGGGATGGTCGGACTTTTCCAGTCTGTCTGTGTCACCTAGCCTCAGCAGTGACCCCTGCCTGGCAGGCAGCTTTGTTGGCAAGTGCTGGTGTCTTCCTGGAGTGGCATTCATATCAGCTACTTATTAATTATGAATTCTCCTTCTTCCAGAAACTGGACATGCGGTCCCTGATCAAACTGAATTTTGCAAAGAACAGTGAAGGTAAGAGATCTCTCTTTTTTAATATATATTTTATTGATTTTTTTACAGAGAGGAAGGGACAAGGATCGATAGTTAGAAATACTGCTGAGAGAGAGAGACATCGATCAACTTCGTCCTGCACACCTCCCTGGAGATGTGCCCACAACCAAGGTACATGCCCTTGACCGGAATCGAACCTGGGACCTTTTAGTCTGCAGGCCGACACTCTATCCATTGAGCCAAACAGTTTTTGGCAAGAGATCTCAGCCAACTCGAGGACTGGCCTGCAAAACCTGGCCGCTGTCTCATGCTAAGTTCTCTGCACATCCAGTCATTCCCTTCAGATCAGGCTAACACTTGCTTTTAATTTCTCAAAGAGGCAACATAATTTTTTCCTTTTTATTATTGTTTTTATCCTCACCTGAGGATATTTTTCCATTGATTTTTAGAGAGTGAGGAGGGCGGGGGGGGAGGGGGGAGAGAAGAGGGGAGAAAGAGTGAGAGAGCAACATCGATGTGAGAGAGAGACATAGATTGGTTGCCTCCTGCACTTGCCTTGACCGGGACCAGAGATTGAACCTGCAACCAAGCTACATGCCCTTGACTGGAAATCAAACCCTCAACTCAATGCATAGGCCGATGCTCTAACCATTGAGAAAAACCAGCCAGGGCTAAATTTTTATTTTTCTTATAAAAAAATTATTTTAATTGATTTCAGAGAGGAAGAGGGAAGGAGAGAGAGATAGAAATATCTGTAATGAGAGAGAATCATTGATTGGCTGCCCAGTAGGGGGTGTGCAGGAGGCAGCTGATTGATGTTGTTTCTAACTATCCTTTTCCCTTCCTCTCTGTAAAAAAATCAATAATATATTTAGAAAATAAAAAATAGATAAGAAGAATTTCTTAATATTATTCACTGTCTAGCCAGTGGTCAAATTTCCAGAATGCTCTCTTAATTATTTTCATATAGTTTTCAAATCAAGATTTTTAAAAAGTTCACACAAGCCCTAACTGGTTTGGCTCAGTGGATAGAGCGATGGCCCACGGACTCAAGGGTCCCAGGTTTGATTCTGGTCAAGAGCATGTACCTTGCTTGTGGCACATCCCAGTGGGGGGTGTGCAGGAGGCAGCTTTGATGGATGTTTCTAACTCTCTATCCCTTTCCCTTCCTTTCTGTAAAAAATCAATTAAATATATATTTTTTAAAAGGTTCACACAAATAATAGTTGATAATCTCTAAGTCTCTTAATCTAGAAGTCTTCCTCCCCACCTTTTTGCAGTTTATTTGTTGGGACTTATTTGGACAGGCTCCTGGTGGCCTGTAGGGAGTTGGTTGCAATATCCCAGGCGACAGGGTAGGGACGTGGCAGTGTCGGCAGTGGAGGAGGAGGCCAGGGCAGTGTTCCAGTGGTGGCCTGGCTGATGAGGCAGATACCCCTGAGGAGGGCCAGTGGGGATTGGAGGAGGGGGGTTAAGCGGCTGGCCGGCCCTTTGGGCCCCGCTCTGGCCCCGCTCTGGCCCCGCTCTGGCCCTGCTCTGGGCTTACTGATGCAGGCTTCTGCCTTCTCCCTAGAAAAGTACCACTGTCCAGTGCTGTACACCGTGTTCACCAACAACACCCACATCGTGGCCATCAGAACCACCGGCAATGTCTATGCCTACGAGGTAGGTCCTCGGGAACTGTGTCCCCTGCCGGCTCTTTAGGTGTCTGCTCCTGGGAACCCTGGTCTGGGCTCGGGGATTGCACAGCCTTTTCCTGTGACGCCGACACAGAGCCATGAGCACAGCCTAGAAAAGGCAGCCTTCCTGTGGCCTCTGGACCTGATGCCTGGGAGGGTCTTCCCACAGTCGTCTGCAGCAGACGTCCTGGTCAGGGCCTGGGAGGGAGCCTGTGCTCTGAGATCAGCCAGGGTTTCGAGGGGGTCTTGAGCCCCCGTTCCTGGCAGTTTCCAAGGGGAGCAGATGTGGTTGGTGGGCAGGTGTGGGGAGAAGCCTTGCGTGCCAGCAGAGTACAGCCGGCAGGGCTGTGGGCTCCACTAGCAGGAAGGCCTCTCAGCTGTTTCATGCCGGTCCCTGGCCACTGGCAGGGTCTAGGTGGCCAGTGTGGCTCTAGGGACTCTGGGGGTGACACCTTGTTCTAATGCGCTCGGATTTGAGGGGCTTGGTACAGATGGGTGGCCTTGCTGAACCTGTTTGCTGATGTGTAAGACGTGTCACGAGAGAGTCCTGTGAGGCTCCTTGCTCAGAGGGTAGGCTTTGAGTTTCTGGGGCTCAACAAGCTTCCCCCTCAGTGGCAGGGCCATGCTCTGAGCCCGAGGGGAGTGCCTGGTGGTTCTGTCCTTATCCTCATGCTGGAAGGAGCCGTTGTCCGGGCGGGCTGTAGGCTCCTGTGCCGGGCTGGGGACAGGCACGGTGACAGCCGCTTCCTCCTGGCCACAGGCGGTGGAGCAGCTCAACATCAAGGCCAAGAACTTCCGAGACCTGCTGACTGACGAGCCCTTCTCCCGGCAGGACATCATCACCCTGCAGGTGCGGTCCCACCCGCGTTTTCAGGAGGGGCCAGAGAGCCTGGCCCAGCTCCCTCTGCCCGCCCCAGCTGCCACTGACAGTGCCCCCACCCCCACCCCCTGCCCTCCTTTCTCTCAGTCACATGGGCCTTGCACACACCGCTTCCTCAGTCTGGTTCCCATAGCTCCTCAGATGCCTGTCCCGGCTGTCAGGGCCCCAGAGCCATCTTGGCACAGAATGGCCTCTTTGCAAGCCTCGTTCTCCAACTGCCCTCTTGAGAGTGGAGGCAGGTGTGTGCTTTGCACCTCAGCGTTGGGCATAAGGCACCCCTGTGGTGTCAGAATCCTGGGTGGGTTCATGAAAAACATGGACTTAGAGAATCTGGGAGTGACTTAGATGGGGACGATCCCTGTAGCTTGTCCCGTTCTCGTTGGAGGTCAGGACACGTTCCTTCCAAGGTAGCGGGCTCGCTGTCCCAGGACCCGAGCTCTGTGGGTCTGTGTCTGGCAGGCAGGCTGAAGGGAGTACGGGGCAGCAGGTGGGAGGCCTGGAGGTAGGTGGCATAGCTGCTCGAGAAGACCCCATCTGTCTGTGGCTGGCTCACAGCAGGGGATGCTTGTCAGCCTGTGTCAGGGAGAACAGATGCAGTGTGGGGAGCAGCCAGCCATTGGTTGCAGTCTCCACCCCACCCCTGCTCAGGACCCTGCCCGGGACAGAGCCCTTTCCCTGGCTCCCTTGTTCCCTTTTGACCCACAGGCTTCTGGGCAGCCACAGGCCTCTTCCTTCCTGGCCCCAGGACCCTCATGCCACTCACCTGTCCTTTGCTGCCTGTGGCGGCCACGTGGCCTCAGCCTGGGAGCCGGCTGGGCTCACTCCGCTGCACGTGTTCTTTTTGCCCTAGGACCCGACAAATTTGGACAAATTCAACGTCTCCAACTTCTTTCATGTTAAGAATAACATGAAAATAACAGACCCAGGTATGGACATCCAGGGGTGGTCTGGGTGCCAGGGGGTGGGGAAATAGGTCCATGCTCCCTGGCCAAGGCCCCCGCCCTCCTGGGGCCAGTCTTGATCAAGCTGAGGCAAGTTTGGAATTTCTCAAGATGGTGTTCACTACCTCCCTGGGTTTGCAGCGATTACGAATCTGTCACTGAGGGAGGCTTGGCCTGTGTCCTGGTCCGGGACCTGCTGGGGTAGCCAGCTCTGGCCTTTTTTCCCATCATGCACATCTGGGGACATTCCTGGGGCTCAGATGCTCAGGGCCACCATGCTGTTTTGTAGATGAAGAAAAGGCCAAACAGGACCCATCTTATTATTTGAAAAATACCAATGCCGAGACCCGAGAGACACTGCAGGAGCTCTACAAGGAGTTCAAGGGGGATGAGGTGCTGGCGGCCACCATGAAAGTCCCAGAGAAGAAGAAGGTGGACAAGCTGAATGCGGTGAGTAGGTGGGGGCACACACCTGCCAGCTAAGCCACCCACCCATCAGAGTACCTAAGAGTGGTTCTGGATGCAGTCAGAGGGAAGCAGCTGGGATCCCCGAGCCAGGGCACCCCTGGGGGCCCAGACAACAGCAGCACTGAGGAGGCTGGGGCCGACAGATGTGGGTGCTGAGAGCTGTGCAGCGAAGGTGGCCCCCATGAAGGGTCTATTTATTTATTTATATATATTTTTATTGATTTCAGCAAGGAAGAGGAAACATCAATGATGAGAGAGAATCATTGGTCAGTTGCCTCCTGTATGCCCCCTACTGGGGACAGAGCCTACAACCTGGCCATGTGGCCTTGACTGGAATCGAACCCAGGATCTGCCAGTCCGCAGGCTGATGCTCTATCCACTGAGCCAAACCAGCTAGGGCCATGTGGGGTCTATTTCATGCTGTAGCCCAAGCTGGGGATCCTGGGACAGACATGCTGGGTGGACAGTGCCTGGGGCTTTGGTGCACGTGACACAGTAGCCTCAGGCATGCAGATCTGTGGGAGGGATGTCCCGTGGGGTGCGGAGTCACTGCCCCACAGAACTGGTCACTTGGTGCCCAGGGCAAACCCAGGGGGCGAGGGTGGGTGTTTCAGGGGGACCGTAGTGCTGAGGAAGGGACAGGTGGCACGGTGCCCATCCCTCCTGGCAGTCAGGTTTGCTTCTTACAATGCCCGGCAGTTGGCTCTGAGGTGCTCTCTTGGCAGTGATGGCACCAGAATTTATGACCGTCTGTCAGGCCCCAAAGCTGCCCCTTCCCCTCTTCATTTTGGAGAGCTGAGGCTGCGGCGGTGGGGAGGTGGGCTCTGAGGCTTCCTCCTTAAAGAAGTATTCGGGAAAATTTGCAAAAGAAAAGTTTGTTGTTCATAATTCCACCACTCACACACAAACTCTTAGCATTCTGGTTCCTTCCTTCTGATGGGGAGAAATCCCTCTCTTTATTTCTCCCTTCTGCCTAGGATGAAAAAATATTTATTGGGGCTTATGTTTTCCTGATTTAAAATGTGTTTACTATAGACACTGAAAACTATTTAAAAAATATATATATATTTTATTGATTTTTTTTTACAGAGAGGAAGGAAGAGGGACAGAGAGCTAGAAACATGGATGAGAAACATTGACCAGCTGCCTCCTGCACAACCCCTACCAGGGATGTGCCCACAACCAATGTACATGCCCTTGACCAGAATCTAACCTGGGACCTTTTGGTCCGCAGGCCGATGCTCTATCCATTGAGCCAAACCGGTTTGGGCTGAAAACTATTTTTTAAAACTTATTTTTTTATTGATTTTAGAGAAGGGAGAGGGGAAGAGAGAAATATCAGTGATGCGAGAGAATCATTGATCGGCTGCCTCCTGCACGTCCCCTACTGGGGATCAAGTGCACAACCCAGGCATGTGCCCTTGATCAGAATCGAACCTGGGACCCTTCAGTCTGGATGTTGACGCTCTATCCACTGGCCAAACTGGCTAGGGCAACACTGAAAACTTTTAAAAGGGAAGTAGAGTCCCTCTTTCCTTGGGGCCTTAGGGAACAGCCAATTCGGGCTGGGCCACCTTGTCCCCGGGAGGTTCCTGGTGTATCTGGGTGGTGGCCACAGACGGCTTCCTGGAGGAGAGGCAGGAGCAGGGGCCTAAGCTGCTCCCATGTCCTCAGGCTCCGGGCCTCCCTGGCGCTGCTGATGCACCACGTGGTTTTCTCCGCAGGCCCACTATTCCACTGGGAAGGTTAGCGCCTCCTTCACCTCCACTGCCATGGTTCCAGAGACCATCCACGAAGCAGGTAGACCTTCCCTCTGTCACCAGTGCTGCCTCATAATGGCCGAGGCGGTGCCCTCCCTTCCTGTCCTCAGCATCGCTCCGTGGTGTCTGGGCTTTGTGGGCTTTGGGGCAGCTCAGGAATGGTCAGGGACGGCCCTTTGAAGGTGTGCTTGCACTGCAATGGGGGATGCTGTAGTAAGAGGAGGCCTGTGGCAGGAGCCCTCTCCATGCCGTGTCCCGCCTGTGAGGGACCCCCTCTCCCCTTCCCTCTTCCCAGGCTGCCCATGGGCAGCCCAGCCTCCACCAAGCTCTCTTCCTCTTACATTTTCAGGTCGGTCCCCGACCCTCTTGTCTCCACCCCCTCCCGCCCTGGGTCCCAGCCTTCCCAGCGTCCCCGCCTTAACTGCTCAGCCTCCCTATGCTCAGCCAGGGCACCCCCTTGGGCTTTCCTCGGAGCTGCTAGTCCAGTCCTTGTGCCAGGTGTGGGGTGCGGGTCTTCGGGGCGAGGAAGGCACAGAGCTTGAGCCTCTGCTTGATTGCAGCCGCCATTGACGAGGACGTGCTGCGCTACCAGTTTGTGAAGAAGAAGGGCTACGTGCGGCTGCACACCAACAGGGGCGACCTCAACCTGGAGCTGCACTGCGACATGGTGGGTGGCAGCCGTCCCTCCCCTGCCCGGCGTTGTCCCAGGCTCTTACGCATGGAGCTGCACTCCGGGTGTGCTCACATTAGAGCATTCTGTCCTCAAGGGGTGTGCCCCGCTGCCCTCCCCAGAAGGGACCCTGTCAGCGTGTGCTGTGTTTCCTTGGCCCCAGTCTGGGCGGTGAACACACATGTGGCGGCACACACACACACACCCCGCTCTGCTGGCGTCTCCCTGTGGCCCTCGCACTCAGGCTGGGCAACTTGGTCCTTGCTGGGTTCACGCTGGGCAGCTCACCCTCTTGCACTGCACGGTCAGGACTCCGGTGGCATTGGTGACCCCCCATTGGCTGCTTCATGCCTCACATAAGTACCTGGATTACTTTGCAGACACCAAAAACCTGCGAAAACTTCATCAAGCTCTGCAAGAAGCAGTATTACGATGGCACCATCTTCCACAGGTCCATCAGGAATTTCGTGGTGAGTGGCCTGGGTCAGCGCTGGCCTCCGAGGCCAGGTGCACTCTGGAGGTGACTTCTGCCAGACGTCCTTCTCGGGGCAGGGACACAGCACACTCACCCCTGAGCACCCAGCCTGGCCACTGGGAGGGCCTCTGCCTCACCAAGAGCTCAGACACCTCTAAGTCCCTCTGACTGGTGGGGGATTGCTTCGGCTGTGGGCAGTGGGGCTGTGGAAGGGCCGGCAGGGTCGCAGGCATGGCTTGCTCACTGGCTTTTGTTCTTGCAGATCCAGGGAGGTGACCCCACTGGCACAGGCACAGGTAGGTATGGGTGCTGGCGTTCCCTGGGCAACTTTGGCTGCCCCATTGGCCGTGAGGGGTAGGTGGGTGGAACGTAGGTGACCTTGGGCATGTTCTGTTTTCTCGTGGAGATGGTCATAACCCCGAATGAGAGATGGAGGGGAGCATGTTGCCTCCTCCACAAGCCTCTAGGCACCCGTCTTTGTTAGTGACCAAGGGATGCCTCGGGCCCACAGCAGAGGGAGGTGATCCCCCTAGTCCCCAGATGCCTGGCTGTTCTCCCAAAGACATCACCCCCACCCCGGCCCCTGCTCTCAGCTTGTCAGCTGCTGGCGCCAGGCCTACTCCCTTGTCCGTGGCCTTCACTCTTTACTCCATTTTCAGGGTCAGGCCCCACGTGGGGGCTCAAGGGCCCTCAGCTGCCCTCCAAGGTGCCCCGGACCCAGACCCAGCAGTGCCCAGTGCCCCTGCGACTTGGCATAGGTTTCTGGAGCTGGGCTGCGTCCTGCTGGCTGTACTCAGCGAGGCCCCAGCCGTTCTCGCTGCCGTCATGCTCCTCTCTCTTCCAGGCGGCGAGTCTTACTGGGGGAAACCCTTCAGAGACGAGTTCCGGCCCAACCTCTCGCACACGGGCCGGGGCGTGCTCAGCATGGCCAACTCGGGGCCCAACACCAACAAGTCCCAGTTGTGAGTTCTGGGAGGCTAGGGGCCGGGCCGGGAGGAGGCTGGGCTCCCTGCGGTCCCCCTCAGCCTTGCCCTGGGTCCAGCCAGGAAGGTGTGCAGCACCCCGCTGGGGAGGTGGTGGCCTTCCACCGGGTCTGCCATGATTGTCCCCGAGCCTCGTGTCTTCTCTGGGCAGTGGTTCGTGCGCTGTAACCAGCCTTGGAACGCTTTTTGCTTCATGTCTTCTGATACCTTCTTTCATCTTTTACTTTTAACCTTTCAGCTTGAAGTTTTAAGGCTTTTTAAGGTACACACATAGATTTTGGTTTAATTCAACCTGAGAATCTTAAGTACGTACTTAATGTTCCAGTTTTACTGCTGACATATGTGTGCTTTCTGATGAACCTTTTAAAAATAATTTTCTTCCTTTCCCCTTTCTCCTGCTTTGGAAGTTAGATGTTTTACTTCTAGCCTTAAATTAAGTACATCTGTTTAAAGTTATTCATCTCTCTACCTCACTCCCAGACAAGACCCTCTAGTCACCCCCCCACCATCCATGTTAGTGTAGTTGGGAATTTAATTCCACTCATTAAAAACAATTTTTAAATCCATTTGTTGATTTTAGAGAGAGGAAGGGAGGGGGAAGAGAGAAACAGATTTGTTGTTCCATTTTTGCATGCACTGGTTGATTCTTGTAAGTACCCTGAGATTGAACCAGCAACCCTGATATATATATCAGGATGGTGCTCTAACCAAATAGCAACCGGGCCGGGGCCTAACTCCACCCATTAAAAAAAATTACCTTTATTATTGAAAGTGTTACAGATGTCCCCCTTTTAATTCCACCCATTTGTAAGCCAGATCGGAAGGGAAATGTTCTAGGTCAGTGTTGCTTTCTTTATGTGCACCTGCGTCTCTGTCTTGACTCCCTGTCCTGCTGGTTCAGAGTCCTCGGTCCTTTAGTCTCCCTGTGGCTGGGCTCTGGTCTTCTACTCACGCTGTCTCCCGCGCAGCCTCTAGGCTGTGGCCACAGTGCCTGGGCCTGAGCCTCCCCTGCCCCTTCCTGGCAGCTGAGCGCTGGGATTTCTCCCAAGTGGCCAGAGGCCCCCGTCGCCTGGTGGCACCTAGGTGGACAGCCTGCCCTAGAAGGCCGGTAAGGGGCCGTGCACACAAGTGAGCAGCTTCCCAAAGCAGCGTGGGGCAGGGTGTGTGTGGCCTGGTGTGTGTCCAGCGGCCTTGGGGGCCAAGTGGGGAAGCTCTGTCTTCCTGACCTTCCTGTCCTCTTTCCCAGCTTCATCACCTTCCGCTCCTGCGCTTACCTCGACAAGAAGCACACCATCTTCGGGCGGTAAGAGAAGTTGCTGCACGAGGTCGGTTCCTGGGAGGGTGGGTTCCTTCCCCAGCTGGCGCCTCTCTCTGCCTTTCCCCAAGGCCTGGCCCTGCCACGGTCACAGCCATGCAGACCTGGGACTTGGGGCTTCCATGTTGGGCAGGGGACCTTGGCTAAAGAGCGCGGCTCCAGCCTTGACGGACAGCTGTCCTGCCCAGTCAGCCCCTCAGGTTCTCCTTTGGAGACCCCAAATCACAGGTCTGGGCACCACTTCTCTCTCCATCCTGTAAGGCCCAGGTGGAATTTCCAGCTTTGTGACCTTACGGTCCCTGACTCCTCACTCAGCTCCGTGGTTGTAGCAGAGAGCAGCCACAGACAGTGTGGAAGCAGCGGGGCTGTCTCAGTGAAGCCTCACCTCTCGGGCCCCTCCTGTGCTGGCCCGCGGGTCTTCCTGAATCTGCACCCTGGCCTGTGAGGCCGCCCTGGGCCTGCAGCCCCTCTTCCTGGCATGCTGTGGGACTCAGCCTTTGGGGTTGCCCTGAGCAGGCACATTCAGAGACACCCTTCCCTCTGCTGCAGGGTTGTTGGGGGCTTTGACACACTAACAGCCATGGAGAATGTGGAGAGTGACCCGAAGACTGACCGCCCTAAGGTATATGCCGGGAGAACAGAGGCTGCTCCTCAGACCGGGCTGGGCCGGCGTAGGTCCTGTCTCCTGCCAGCCCTGCTCACGCTCCCTTCGCTGTAGGAGGAGATCCGCATCGACTCCACCACGGTGTTTGTGGACCCCTACGAGGAGGCCGATGTTCAGGTGAGGGGTGTCTGCCACACGGGGAGGGCTTCGGGGAGCCCTGTCCAGCCTGAGGGCTCCTGCTCAGCCACATGCCTGCTCGCAGATCGCCGAGGAGCGGAAGAAGACACAGCTCGCAGAGGCCACCCCCGAAGCCACAGTGAAGAAAAGCCAGCCCAAGCCTGGGAGCCAGGGCCCCCCCACGTTCCGCCAGGGGGTGGGCAAGTACATCAACCCGGCAGCCACGTGAGTGGGGGGAGCTGGTGTCTGTTTCCAGGTGCGTCCACGTGCTTTCCGACCTGGGAGCGCGCAGGGAGCGGGAGCCGAGGCCTCGGTGCAGCCGGAGAGAGCAGACTCGGGTGGGGCGGAACATGTGGCTCCCAGCTCGGGCCTGACCCCCACGGCAGCTGGCGCCTGGCTCTTCCCTCCCCAGGAAACGTGCAGCCGATGAGGAACCATCAACCAGCGCAGCCGTCCCTGCGGCCAAGAAGAAGCCCAGCGGGGGCTTCAAGGACTTCAGCTCGTGGTAGCAGGCCTGCCGCTTGGACCCGGTAGGGCCGCTGTGCTGGACTGGTGTCCACACCAAGCTTTCTGCCCGCACATGCCAGCCCCTGCCTGTTGCCTGGGTTCCCTTTCCTGCCCCAGGAACCCATGGGCCTCCTCCTCCCTCACCAGCCAGAGCCCACATCTGGGACCACAGGGTGCAGGTCCAGAAGGACCTGTTTTCTTACCATTACCTCCCACTTCCATCATCTTCTCATGACTATTTTTACTCCATGTGGTCTCCCCAAGCGGCCTTACCCCGAACCTTGTTAGAGGCTGACCTCAGCTCTGAGGTCTTTGTCCATGGGGGCTTCTGATGTCGGTGAGTTGAGGACCCTGGACTAGAACCTAGATTTTACATCCAAAAACCTTTCTACCCCTCCTGCTTGGGTTTGCTGGGTCCAGTTCAGCAAGGACCGTGGGCAGTCACAGCCATGCCCAAGGCACACCTGCTCTGGGTCCTACCCCAGGACTGCCCATCTCTGTCTCAGGCTGGTGACCAGACCACACCTGGGTGAGGGCAGCTGGCTCCTGAAGGACATGCAGGGGACCCCAGCCAAACGGTGTACACACCCCCCCCCCACCACTCGGGGCCAGTCCTTGTACTCAAACCCGGCCATCGTTCCCAGCTCCTAGCAGGTGTCTTCAAACTTTTTAAAGTGGGGGCCAGATCACGGTCCCTCAGAGAGCTGGAGGGCCGGACTATATGAACTACTAATTCCTACTGTAACACCTCGGCTGCGCTCACTGCCCAAAAAACCTGGCGGGCCGGATCAGACTCCTCTGCGGGCCGCATGTGGCCCGCGGGCCGTAGTTTGAAGACACCTGTACCTAGGGCTTCCGGGCAGCCTCACCAGCATTTCCTAACTCCAAGGTCCCTTCCCTGATCCTGTTTTTCAAAAGCTTCCTCTTGCCCACCCACCCTTGTTTTCTGTTCGTTCTGCAGCCTGTGCCTGCCCGGCTTCCCCTCTCCTGACCTGACACTACCTCAGCTCCCCGCAAGTGCCTGCAGAAGCAGGACCGCTGCTGCCTCCTGGAGCCGTCGCCTCTGCCTGGGCTCTGCAAGGTCCCTGTCCCCTCACACTCCTCAGTGCCGACGTCCTCGGGTCTGCACAGCCCACCACCTCCCGCTCAGCACGCTGGAGCTCTAACTCCCATTCTTGGTTTCTCACCCCAAACCTCAATTCCACCAGTAAGTCTCAACGGCTCTTACTTCAGAACGCACCCTGGCTCCCTCTGCGGTCTTCCCTGCCGGCAGCTGTCCCACTCCTCTGCACCTTCAGTCACAGTGGTCCCTCGCTGCTTCTCGACCCCTTTACACCACCCTCCGAGCTACAGACATCTGCGAACTCACTTGAGAAAGGCTGCACCAGCATGGACTCCGAGAGCCTGGCAGACCCAGGAGGTGGCAGCGGGCAGGTGGGTGTGTGGCAGGCAGCAAGGACCCGGGCTGCCTCTGGAGGAGACCCTGTGCTCTCGTGTCAGTGGCGTGGCCCCAGGGCCTGTCCCTCAGCACCTGCTACTGCAAAGGACACACTGGACATGGAAGCTTTATTTCCGAATGTCACACAGACAGGCTGAGGTAGGCTGTGTGCTCGCCATGGCGGTCCAGCTCCGAGGGGACCTCCGGGTGTGGCCGGGCTGCGCCCCACAGAGCAGGACCTCCCCCCCCCACCCCCCCGTCGGCCCAGAGCCTTTGACAAACAAGGTTTAGATCTGTAGGCTGTTTTGGAGCTTATAGTTTTCCAGAAATTAAAAGCACTTAGATTTTTTTTAATACCTGGTGAGGTCACCAGGTAAATTAAAGGACTTTTGAAAAATTCCCATTTTTGATCCTTGCTAATATCTGACAGATGCCGTCAAGAATAAGTGTTAAGGTATAAAAATATTATATATGTTTATATAAAATGGCAACAAGACTAAACTACGATTCTAAAGCAAATGTGCTGAGCCTGAGGACTCGGCAAGTCTTAAGTTAAATGCATTTATAATCCTGGCATCACCTCCCACTCGGGGAAAAATAAATAAATAAAAGTTGGGTTGACATTTACTGCTGAAGCATTTGAGAGGATGGAACATACCAGCACGTAGTTGTGGCTCGTGGATGTCCTTCCTGGAAGCCAGCTCCGTTCATTTGGTTTCAAAAGGAGCTTGGGTTTTGCAGAAGACCAACAAAAAAGTGGTGAGAATATTTGTACCAATTATATTTTTTTAAAAACAATGAACAAAAAAAAGTCATAAGACGACCAAGAAAAAGATTTCGACGCCATCAAAAAGACGATACAAAACCAAAGTGCTGAAATCGAAGGAGCAGTGAAATTGCCCAGAACATATAAAAGCTTTAAATAGAAGTTTCGTATATACAAAACTGCTCAGAGGAATTTTAGATTCAGTTGCAGCGAAGACCTGGAGACGCACAAGAGCCGCCGCCCGGGCCTGCGGTGGGCCCCATGCCGCCCGCAGAGCCTCTGGTGCACAGAGCCTTGGCGAGGAACCACGAGGAGGGCGGGTCCCTTCCGGCCAGATTTCACCAGGAGTGCTCACTCACTCGGCTCCTTCAGTCCCTCCACGGTTCCCCCAGGGACCGAGCTGCAGGAGTTTGCGGTTTCACGTGCCTATGCACGAGCGAAGTGTCTTCAGGTTTCCCACTGCTCGCTGGAGGCCTGAGGCTGCACTGCAGAACCCACCTTGGATATGGCCCTGCTGGGCCGCCTAGACCAGGACACCCGCTCAGCAGCAGCACCAGCGCCTGCCGTGCAGAGGCTTCCATGGCTGTGCCAGGACCGTCTTTCAGCCGAAGACACACGGCAGAGGCTCCTTGGGCATCAGCCCACCCTCTGGGCAGAGACGGTGCCAGGAGGGAAGCTCCAGGTGAGCAGCTGAACCAGGACCGGGCAGGGAGCCCTGTGCCTGCATGGCCAGGCTCTGGGCTAAGGGGAGGCTGGGGTCCGGGCAGGGCTCATGCTCGCTGCCGCTGGACTAAGCTTGCCTACAGGCTGAGAAGCACCTGGCACCTGGCTCTCCTCTCCCTCCTTCCCCCGAGTCCCCTTCCTAACCTTGGCACTGGGATCCGGTGAGCCTCATGCCAAGGTGACCACACAGAGGCTGCCCCGCACACCTGGCACAGCGGCTGGCCCGCAGGCTGGCGTCGGGTTTGAACACTGAAACAGAAAACTTATCTGGGAACATTTTTTACCTAAATTCTTTACAAATTGCCCAAAACCTGTGCAGTGCATTGGCCAAAACTTGCAGAAGCATGGGTGGGTCAAAACTTAAAACAAGTGGCGGCTACTCAGGACCTAGGACATGGGCCAGAGCCAGGCAGGCGGGGCGACCCGCTGAGCAAACCAAACATCTCAGTTACAAAGCTTAAACCTGTCTTACAACTTTAACCTTTTTTGAAAACATTAAAAAGTCTACCAAATCTCAAGTTTGAAAGTTTATCCTGTTAGTTCTGGCCTCTTTCATATGCAAAAATAATTTTTTTTCTTCAAGTACATCCGAGTAGAAAAGGAAGTCTGATTTACTCGGTCCAGTGTGTTAGCTAGCACTCCAGGGACAGTGCTCCGTGCCTGCCTTACACGGCACCCCCTCCGGTGCCCGTCCGGGGCTTGGCCCTGGCACAGCTGCCCGCAGGCCCGGGGCCAGTCCTAGCTAACAACTGGTTCACTTGCTTCCCAGATAAGGAGGCGATTGGCTTAAACAAACAGGATGTTCCATTAAACACATTTCTCTGTTTCTGGCTTACGTAAAATGTTATCCATGGTATCTGCTGGTTTTGAGCAAGGCTAAAAAATACACCCTCGGTGTATATATTTGTCTGCTTCTGGAATATTCTGAAATGAGCACTGTGACTTAACAGCTCATTTGCAAGAGAAACAACCAATTTGTAATTCTGCAAACTAGGAAGAAGTGGGCTGTAACACTGTCCTTCCAAATGACAGGTGAACCTGCTCTCTGAAGAGACCCTGTCCCTGGGCCTGTAGACCGGCTTGTTTCTGTCAAACGTGGACGAGCAGCCAAACTTGATCTTAATGTCAGAGGTTAAAGAAGGTATTAGACAGATCAGCCGCCAGTTGGTTAATTCTTTCTCTAGAACTTGAGACACTAGAAAAAGGTCATTCATTGGAACATTTCTGAAACGTCCACATACATGAAGAGGACACAGACCAAATGGAGCCTTACCCACAGGAGCGGCTGGAAGAGGCAGGCGGGCAAGGTTCAAGTTTAAGAAATAGTCATCCAGGACGCTCCTATGTATGCATTCCATTAAAGTCTCTCACAAAACAGGATTTGGAAGAGAACAGGAAGCCTTCGCTTTACTCCCAGCCATTGTCTTTGATCATGTGGGCAAGCTCAATGATAAATTTCCCTTCCTTATATTTCTGACTGCTTTCAAAGGCGTGCTCCTGGGGGGAAAGTAGAAACAGAAGGTTTCAGGAGAGACATTTCAGGGGTGGTCAGGGATGGGATGAACGGGGTGGGTGGGGGAATGTGAAGGCCTCACTAAGCTCGTCTGTGTGAGCTGGGCACTGTGTCCCCATATCTGATGGGGACGCGGGACACAGAAAGATGGAGAATTCCAGGAGGGAGAGCTGTCGGTGCCCTGACAAAGAGAACCAGCATGGCATGCAGGAGGCAGCCCCTCAGTCACTCATCGACACTTCTACCTCTCCCTCCCTCTCCCTCTGAAGTCAATAAAAACGTATTTTAAAAAATGAACTCTGACAGGATTATACTTCCGGAGAGATCTACGCCTTGCAAATTTTGTTTCCATTTGTAAACGTTTTGTTTATCATAGTACCTCTGCGTGCTCTCTGGAATGTCAGAACAAGGTGGTCACTCACGTATTTCCACCCGAGCGTGGTCTTGCAGTTCTCACAGTAGATGTCTGCGACGGCGTGCAGGCCGGTGAGCAGGACCCTCTCCTCCGCGGGGCCGCAGCCCACGTTCACCCTGCAGGGGGAGGAGCGGGTGCTGGAGACCTGCCCCCCACCATCACCACCACCGCACACCGCCCCCACCATCACCACTCCCACCGAGATGGTCGCCAGACCGGCAGCCGCGCTTTGTGACTGTCCCCTTCCCCGGCCCTGCCCGCCGCCTCTCAGAAGCACCGCCTTGTATCTCCCCAGGACGGCCGGGCTGGGTGGTGAGCACAGCGCTGCTGCAGCAAAACTCGTCCAGCCCCCGCCCAATGGGAAGGAGACCACCTCGTGTGCAGCGAAGCCACCGCAGCGAAGCGCCCGTGTCTCCCGGAACTCAGACCAGAGCGCGCTCTCTGAGGTCAGGTAGGAGACGCCGGTCATTCCAGACCCGGGAGCACTCAATCCATGGGCACAGAGACCCCGGATCTGCCCCGAGCACAGCGTCCCAGGCGGGCCGGATACTCACACAGAGTTGAAGAGGTAGGCGCGCCCCTGGCTTCCCTGGAAGGACTGAGAAGAGCAGAGCGTTAGGATGAGTGCGCCGCGGTTTGGACAGAAGCGGAGGGGCTGTGATTCAGGTCACATCTGCACAGGAGCCGCCTCAGGGCCGGGGCGGGACAAGATCTCCCCAAAGGGGGGACGGGAGTCACGGCCACCGAGAGCCCACGGGCCCCGGGGCCCTCAGGTGCACACCTGTCAGATCTTAGGGGCAAGGGGCGCGTTCATGCTTCTCCACTGAAATAAAGGCACAAGGTGGCCCCTCCCTGGGAGGAGAGGGCAGCTCACCCAGGAGCGTTACAAGCTAAGGAGCAGCTCGGAGTGTATTTGTGCATCCTGAGATGACTTAGGCGGAGTGGGTGTCAGTGCCTCCCGGATACAACCAGGTCAACCCCAGACTTCCCTTGAGGCTCCTCTGCTCTGGGGCCAGGCTCAGATGGCCAAACAGAACAGATGGGCTACAAAAACCATCACGAAGTGCAAACCAGGCAAGAACACGGTCTTGGTTTCTTTGCCTGTCACTCAGCACGAATTCAAAAGACTGAGGAAGGTTGACTGGAGCACAAGATGACAATATCGAGATGTGGAAGGCACATGCCGAGTGGCCCAGCAATCCCCTTCTCAGAACTGACTGTAAGAATAGACCAGCTTGAGTGTGTAAGGAAACGGGACAAGAATGGTCACCATCAGTGTGTTAATTGCAAAAAAAAAAAAAAGGAAAAAAACACACCAATAAGCAAGCAAACAAATGAATTCATTTCACACCCGGGCGCATGCACTTTAAAAGGGTGACAGGAACAGATTGGTATGAGTGGGCTGGAAAGTAGTCATGAATACTGTTAAGCAAAGAAAGAGCTGTGAAATGACGTGTCCTGAGCTCTATTTTAAAGTGAAAATGTGTTGTCATGGACACACACACAACAAAGAAAAACAAAACCACCCCCTCCCCCCAAAAAAACCACCAAACAACAATACACACCAGATTACTAAGTGATTACTCTAGGGAATGGAGCTGGGGTAGGAAGGAGGAAAAAGTAACTCCCTTTTTTACTTTATACATACACATCACTTTAATGGGTAATCAGGGGCCTGGCCGACCCATCATTTCTTTTGAGCGAGAAATAAACCCTCTCTACCTGGCTGGGTGCCTCGGCTGGAGCACCCCATTCACCAAAAGATGGCGGGATCAATTCCCAGTCAGTGCGCAAACCCAGGTCGTGGGTTCCATCTCCACGTAAATGGGGGAGGCAACCAATCAACGTTTCTCTCTCCCTTTCTAAAATAAAAAGACATCCTCAGGTGAGGATTAAAATATAATAAATCTTCATTTTAAGCCACGGATTTGGGGTTGTTACTGAAGCAAAACTGAGCCTGAGACTAGCAGTTTTGACTTAAATATACAGCTTTCAGACTTAAGGGGCCCTCCTTAAGTAGCTTCTAAGAAGGAGGAATATTATTTATGTCCAATTAAAGATTCACCAAACTTTTCACACATCCCTATTGGCTTCCAATTTTCTAGACTGATTTCTGAATTTTCACCTTTTCTATGAATCCTTATTTAAAAAAAATTCTATCCTTTTGGGTTTTATATATATTATTGATTTCAGAGAGGAAGGGAAAAGGAAGAGAGATAAGACATCAATAAGAGAGAATCATCGATTGATCAACTACCTCCCCCACCCCGGGGATTGAGCCAACCCAGGCATGTGCCCTTGACCGGAACCACCCTGGGACAAACATGGGACCCATTAGTCTGCAGGCCGATGCTCTATCCTAGGGGTGTCGAACTCAATCAGAGAAGGGGCCAAAATCTAAAATCCAGCCTACATCGCGGGCCGAATGGTTTACTGAACAGTCATAAACTGTCATTGTGATGGAAACGCAGCGGAGTGCAGTGATGACAGCGCGGTGCGGGCCACATTGCAAGGCCTGGCGGGACTGATTTGGCCTGCGGGCCTTGTGTTTGACACATGTGCTCTATCCACTGAGCCAACCCAGCGAGGGCTGAATCCTAATTTTTTTTTTTTTTTTTTTTTAAATATATTTTTATTGATTTTGTACAGAGAGGAAGGGAGAGAGATAGAGAGTTAGAAACATCGATGAGAGAGAGTCATCGATCAGCTGCCTCCTGCACACCCCCTACCAGGGACATGCCCGCAACCAAGGTACATGCCCCCGACCGGAATCGAACCCGGGACCCTCCAGTCCCCAAGCCGACGCTCTATCCATTGAGCCAAACCGGTCTCGGCTGAATCCTAATTTTTGACACAGGATTTGGATCAAGGGTGTGATCAGATCAGTGGTGCAGTCTAACTACAGCAGAGCTCTGCAAAGCGCTGTAAGTTAGAGCCAGATAAACGTTTCAGGCTTTGGGGGCCGTACACACCGTCGCAACTACCCTGTGGTGGCACCACAGTAGCCGCAGGTGATACGTAAAACCCGACGAAAACATTGCTCTGCCCGCCCGACGGGGCTGCGGACCGGGCGCCGCCTCGCCGGGAGGCTGCCCTGGGCCGGCTGCTTGTGAGCGCACAGAGGGGCCCAGAGGGGCCCAGAGGCCGGGACCGCCCCCAGCCTCGGGGGATTCCATTCCGCTGCCGGGGAGTAACAGCGTGGGCCCCAGGACTGTAGGAACATGCAGCACCTGCTATTGGTCAGGGGCACTGGCCTCTTTCCCCGTAGACTGTCAGATTAAAAAATGCCAACAGCCAATACCACAGCTGTCTAGTGTGAATGAATCAAAATTATATCTGTTTTTTTGTCAGATCGGCAAAAGGCATTCTTGGTGTGCTGCAGAATCTGAGTGATGAGCTGCCGTGTGCCAGGAGCTGAACAGAGGTTGGAAACCACTGATGTACGGGGAGGAAGCGGCATTTCCTTTCCCAGCGGCTCGGACACAGCAGACCCAGGCGGCCCCGCGATGGCTCCCCCTCTGCCCACCCCACCCGCGCACTCGCCTTGGAGATGAGCTCGTCGTGGTTGGCCAGGTGGGCTCTGCAGTGGACGCAGCTGTACGTGCGGTGGCACGTGGGCAGGTACGCTTGGAAGGTCTTGGACTTGGTCATCTTCACCATCACGGCGGGGTCCTCGCTCCGCCTCCGCGGGGCGCTCTCACAGAGGCAGCACTGGAAGATGCCCGCAAGAGCCGTGGTGGGCCGGGAGGCGTGTGGCCCCGTCCGCACAGCGGGGGCCGGAGAAAAACGCCGCAACCTGGGAACAGTGAGGACACGGAGCGTCAGGGAGAGAGGGAGACACAGCACGAGGGCGCGTTTACCATGCACGCATCCTGAAGATGCACACATCCTGAAGATGCACGCGTCCGGAAGAACGGGGATGGCCCAGGCGGGCCGGCTCAGCGGACAGACACTGGCCTGTACACCGAAGGGTCCCAGGCTCGATCCCCAGTAGGGGGCGTGCAGGAGGCAGCCGATCAGTGATTCTCAATCATCATTGATGTCTCTCTCTCCCCTCCCTCTCTGAAATCAATAGAAATATATTTTGAGAAAAAGAATGGGGGGTGGGCAGGACTAGAAGTTGAAGGTCGAGTCCTGACATATTAATAAATTGTACATAAAAAGGATACGAAGCCTGGCCAGCCTGGCTCAGTGTTGATCTATGAACCAAGTGGTCACGGTTCGATTCCCGGTCAGGCTTCATTTCCGGGTTGCAGGCTTGATGTCCTGTGTGGGGCGTGCAGGAGGCAGCTGATCCATGATTCTCTCTCATCACTGATGTTTCTGTCTCTCTCTCCCGCTCCTTTTTCCCTCTGAAGTCAATAAAAAAATATTTTAAAAAATATTAATACTTAATCACTGTTGAATCATTCTAAATTGAGTTGAGTGTGGCAGGTGAACTACTTTGACACACAAAAAAGTTTTGAGGAAAACCTCTCTCCTGAGTGTGGCTTCAGGAAAAGTGAGAGAAAACAGCAGCCACCGAGGTTCCTGTCCGAGTGAGGGGACAGCACATGGGAACATCTGGTCCCAAATCACAGAGTGAATGACGCAAAGCACCATGATACATATGACTAAATGATGGACCCACTATTTTTTTTTAAAACATCTTTAAAATGAACTTTTAGAGAGAGAGGAAAGGACAGAAGGAGGGAGAGAGAAACATCAATGTGAGAGGGAGACATTGACCTGCTGCCTCCCGCACCAGCCCTGCCGGGGAGAGCGCCCACAACCCGGATCTGTGCCCTGACGGAGTCACAGCGAACAGGAGGGCGCCCCACCCCCTGAGCCACACTGGCCAGGGCATGCATTCGTCCGTATCCGCCCAGAAGGAAACCCGTGTAGATGGTAAATGATTTTCGACAAGTGGGGGAAAGACAGTCTTTTCAACAAATGGCGCTGGGAAAGCTTGAGTCCGTAGACCGACACTACCCACTGCGCAAACCCGTCAGGGCAGGGCTGTTATTATATTATCTGTCCTGCACCCTTCATATCAAAAGGCCAAAGGTGGTGAAGAGCAAGAGGGGCAGGAGCATGTTCTCTGCCGGAGTCGGCCAGAGCCAGGCTGTCCCTTTCCTCCAGTCGCCAAGAGTGTGGTCCTGGCCCCCGCGGGCGGCTCAGGCGTTTGAAGGTTGTGGATTCAGTTTCTGGTCAGGGCAGACACCTAGGTTGCAGGTTTGATTCCCAGTTGGGACATGTATAGGAGTCAACTGACCAGTGTTTGCTTTTTTCTCTCTCTTCCCCTGCCCTTCTCTCTCTCTCAAAATCAATAAAGAATATATCCTCAGGTGAGGGTGAAGAAAAAAAGTGTGATACGGCTTGGGTTAGGCACATGTGACAAACACAAGGCCCGCGGGCCAAATCCGTCCCGCCAGGCCTTGCAATGTGGCCCGCACCGCGCTGTCATCACTGCACTCCGCTGCGTTTCCATCACAATGACAGTTTATGACTGTTCAGTAAACCATTCGGCCGGCGATTTAGGCTGGATTTTAGATTTTGGCCCCTTCTCTGATTGAGTTCGACACCCCTAGGTTAGAGCATTGTCCCAGTACGCCAAGGTCAGGGACATACAAGAAGCAACCAATGAATGCATAAAGTGAACAAATCCGTGTTTCTCTCTTTGCCTCTCCCTCTCTCTCTCAAATAAAAAAAAGAAAGTATGTGATACTAGAGGCCTGGTGCATGACATTCGTGCACTGGGAGGGGGCCCTCAGCCTGGCCTGCGCCCTCTGGCCGTCCGGGACCCCCAAGGGGAGGCGCCAGGAGAGGCTCCCACCCCCGCTGCTCACCAGCCTCAAACCCAGCTTCTGGCTGAGCAGCGTTCCCCCTGTGGGAGCGCACTGACCACCAGGGAGCAACTCCTGCGCCGAGCGTCTGCCCCCTGGTGGTCAATGTGCATCACAGCAACCAGCCGTTCTGCTGCTGTTTGCTTGATATTAGGGGTTTTATTTATTATAAGGGATTGGCTCAGGACAAAACCAGGTCCTGTGACATACAAGAAAGCTCAGAAGCAGATCTATGTATATTCTAGGACACCAGCCGTAGCAGAAGGGACACTGGCTCCCTGGGAAAAACAGATTTGAAAAATGGTGCTGGGCAATTGTGTATCCAGGAAAAGAAAAAGTTAGAGCCCAACTCATGCCCCAATAAAAAATCAATAGCTTATCGCTCTTTCCAGCAGAGAAAATCAGCTAACCAGACGGCAGAGGCGGAAACCTCCACCCGAGGGCCACAGGCCCACACCCACACCCTCTAAGGCACATGTGTCAAACACAAGGCCCGCGGGCCAAATCCGTCCCGCCAGGCCTTGCAATGTGGCCCGCACCGCGCTGTCATCACTGCACTCCGCTGCGTTTCCATCACAATGACAGTTTATGACTGTTCAGTAAACCATTCGGCCCGCGATTTAGGCTGGATTTTAGATTTTGGCCCCGTCTCTGATTGAGTTCGACACCCCTACTCTAAGGTGAAGCTGTTACGCTGGCCGGTGTGGCTCAGCATCATCGCCTGAGAACCAGCAGGCCGCCTGTGACTCCATTCCCGGTCAGGGCACATCCGGGTGTGAGGGGCGTGCAGGAGGCAGCCCATCAGTGATGTTTCTCTCTCTCTCCCTCTCCCTTCCTCTCTGAAATCAATAAAAAATATATTAAAAAAGAAAATAAAATGAAGCCTGTCTCCTTCTCCAATATATGGGCTTCACAACCAAGTGGTAAGGTATTTCTGAACAAGCCTAATGATATTGGATATTCCCAGTTAGCAATTCCAAGAAAACACTCCCCACCCCTCCACCCCCACTGGCTGCCATGGAATCACGTGCCCTTCCTGAATTTTTCCCTTGGGTTTCTCAAGAATCACGGACAAGGTGTTACCAAACTCAAGGGGCTCACCACTTGGGGTGTCCTATTGAAGGAGATCTGGCCCGGCTGGTGTGGCTCAGCTGACTGAGCATCGACCTATGAACCAGGAGATCACGGTTCCAGGCCCGGTCAGGGCACAGGCCTGGGTTGTGGGCTCCACCCCCTGTGGGGTGTGCAGGAGGCAGCCAATCAATGGTTCTCTCTCATCAGTGATGTTTCTCTCTCCCTCTCTCCTTCCTCTCTGAAATTACAAATTTCAAAACCAGGTCCTGTGACATACAAGAAATACATCTTAAAATATATATAGTGACCTGGTTGTCACCAGGAGGTTTTATCACTGCACTGGCAGCAAATGAAGGTTGCGGGACTCACATCCAAATCTGTCCCGCCAGGGGGGGCTGAGCCATCGCTCATTCACACTGCTTGGCTAACCACACTTTGCCTTCTTCTTGGCCGTTGGCTACATTAATCTGTTAGGTTTCTGTCAAGCTCATCCCGTTTGCAGCTGGTCTGCAAAACACTGTGCTCCGTTAAAACACTGTTACATCTGAACATTTCGCAAGAACGACATTGAGTAACAACACTCAGAACTGCCGGACCTGGAGATCTTCAACAGAAGCATCACATGAACGAAGCCCCAATACCTCTGATCAGACTTTCTCCGCTGCTCCAGCCCTCGGACCCGTTAGGATTCTCTCTGACCGGCTCCCGAGTGCCCCCGGGAGGGCACAGAGGTAAGCGTCTCCCCAGACACCACCTGCCCAGCCCCGCTGGCGAAGCCGCAGCCACTGCCTCCCCCTCCGCCCCCTGTGCCCCCGTCCACGCGGACAGAGTCCACGCCCGCTCCACCGCCCGTGTGCCCACTGAGGAAGGAGCAAACTTGTTCAGGCTTCACTTCTTCTTCTTAAAAATATATTTTTATTGATTTCAGAGAGGAAGGGAGAGGGAGAGAGAAACACCAATGGTGAGAGAGAATCACTGATTGATCGGCTGCCTCCTGCACGCCCCCCACTGGGGATCGAGCCTGAAACCCAGGCAAGTGCCCCCGCCCCCCAGTCCACAGGCTGACGCGCTACCCACTGAGCAACCCGGCCAGGGCTGACTTCACTTCTTATTGAACTCAAGTCAAGTCTGTATAACGTCCTCACCCGTTCTTCCTGATGAGAGGAGCCCTAAGCCAGTAACTGTTTTATCCCTCTCCTCCCCTCCCCTCCCCTCCTTCCACAGCGAGCGTGAAGGGGCAGAGGCAGGAATCTGGCTCAGCCAGAGGCGCTCTCTGGGGTCTCAGTCCCTTTGGCGGCAAAACCCTGCTCCAGGCTTTGAACTCGGGACCGCCGGGAGGTAGCTGAGGGCCAGCCCAGACGGGACGCTGTGCAGGGCGGGGGCAGCCTCTCTCCCCGCAAAGAGGTGGTGTGGGCTCAATTTTTAGAGCAAAAACATTGTTCTGCTTCCAGAAGTTTCTCTAACACAGCAGGTAGAAATAGCTTAAGAGAACGTGAGTCAGGCCTGCGTCCATATGGCGCCGTCAGCTCACTCCCAGAGACAAAAACCGAGAAGCGACCCCGAGCCAAAGAGCCGGCAATGCCGGGCAGAAGGGAGCTGCCCTCCGTCCACCCTCCGGTCCTCACGCCCGCGCCCGCGGCCCCGAGGCCCCATCTGGCTGTTCCCCCGGCACAGCAGCCCACGCCGGCTGGAGCAGAGGAAGCGGGCTCCTCGGTGTGACGGGCGGGGCTCCGGGGAGCTGAGCCCCGGTGCTGCCCCCGCGGCTGTGCCCGGCAGGTGCCTGTGTGGCGATCACGCCATCGCGGAAAAGGAGGCGCAGATGCCCCCAGGAGCCTCCGAGCCACGGCCGCCCCGTCCTGAGCAGAGGACTCCGTGGAAACCAGATGAACAGCAGCCCCAGGAGATGATGCTCAGTCCCGCTCTGCCGGCGGGAAGCCGAGGCCCAGCGCGGCCCCGTGAGCACCGGAGCCGGTCCATCCCTGGGACCAGCGGTCGGCAAACTCCTTACTCAACGGAGCAAACATCAACAGCACGGCGACTGACATTTCTTTTGAACTTAAACTTCCTCTAACGCCACTTCTTCAAAATAGACTCGCCCAGGCCGTGGTATTTTGTGGAAGAGCCGCACTCAAGGGGCCAAAGAGCCGCATGTGGCTCGAGAGCCGCAGTTTGCTGACCACGGCCCTGGACCGCAGCCCCTGTAGACACGTGTGAGCTCTCTGATGCAAACCCACGGCACGGCCTTCCCCCGGTGAGAACGGGCTGCGGGGCGGCCAGCGGGGTGCTCCTGGCCGGCCTGGGCGCCCACCGTGGCCTGTGCGGTGGAGACGGGGTTGTCTGCAGTAACGAGGTTAGAAACCGCCTCCGGGCCAA